TTGGCGCCGCAATGGGAGGGGAGGAACATTGGCTTCCACTTGAAGTGAGTTGATTGGGCTGGTCCTTCTTGCTCCAAGTATGTGCCAAAGACAGGTATTCTGTGTCTCATCTAGTGTTTTTAATAGATCGGGGGATGCAGCAGCATATAAAACACTACCATAGTCTAGTTTAGCACGAATGTAAGCAAGGTAGAAGGTACGCAAAAACTTGGCACTTGCTCCCCAGTTGGGTGATGCTAAATGTTTCAATATTCCAATACGTCTCAATAGGTCGCTCCTGAGGAATGTGAGGTGGGGGCCCCACCTGAGCCATGGGGCATCAAGGGTCATTCCAAGTACCCTATGGAGTCGCACATATTGCAAAGGGCGTTGGTTGTATCTCAGCGTTGGGATGTTGATGCGCCTTCTTGTGAAGTATTGGAAGGTTGTTTTGTCCACATTAACAGCAAGGCCCCATGTATCACAGAAGTCCAGTAGTAAGTCAAGATATTGTTGTGTGGTGCGTTTTGCTTCCATCAGGGTTGGGCTCTGGCAGGCAATAGTTATATCGTCAGCATAAACATGAGCAGAGACTCCAGGCAGTTGAGGGAGGTCTCTGAGCAACAGATTGAATAATAGTGGGCTCAGGACTGAGCCCTGGGGCAGTCCTGATTCCAATAGGTGTGACTCTGATAGTATGCCCTGGAGACAGACTTTCACCTTGCGATGCAGTATAGGTAGTTGTGTAGCCATCTGGCCAGAGGGCCAGACACACCTGCAAGGGCTATTTTATACAGCAGTCCAGGCACCCAGACTTTGTCGAATGCAGATCTCAAGTCTACATGGACAACTATGCAAATATTCATGGAGTTCAAGGCATCGCGTATCTGGTGCTCGAGGCAGTAGAGGACATCCATGGTGCATTTGCCATGCCGGAAGCCACATTAGCTATCGTTGAGAAACAAGGACTCCTGTCCCCTAACAGGAGTCCTTGTTTCTCAACGATTTAGTCCAGACGTCGTGCAACAAGCCTTTCCATTAGTTTTGCCAGGCATGAGAGCAATGTGATAGGTTGGTACGACTGGGCCTGTGTTGGGTCTTTTCCAGGCTTAAGGATGGGGAGGACTAGTCCTTCTTTCCAGTTGTGGGGAACTGTGCCAGTCTGCAGGCTTTGGTTGAATAGATCCAGCAGCATAGAATGCTGAGTACTTGGTAGGGCTTTAAGGAATGCATTGTGCACAAAGTCTAGACCAGGGCTGGTCATTTTTAAGCATTTCATCCCATGAGCAAGTTCTGCATGGGTGAAGTCTGAGTCATACTCTGTGTTTGTCAGCCAACTAGTATAAATTCGCTCCCATAGATCAGCGGGGGGATGAACATGATTGGGTCGTGCAGGATCTTGAAGATTTCGGCAGATGAGGTTAACACGGTCTTCAGTGGAGGTCAGCAGCAGTCCATTATGCATCAGGGGATATGACAAGTTGGTCTTTTGTGTCTTCATCATACGTATTTTTTTCCAAGCACTTGATACTATTGTTGTTGTGTATGTGATAGATTCAATGAATTGCCTTCTGTATGCTTGTTTGTGCTGGCAGATGCAATATCTTGCCTCAGCACATCTCCTCTTATATTCTATAAGCGCCGCTTGTGAGGAGTGTCGTTGTAGGCCTCATAATGCACATCTCCTTGCTCTCACCCTCTCCCTGCACTCATCATTCCACCAGGGAGTTGATGGTCTTGTGTAGGGGTTACCTGTGGAGCATTGGGTACTGTTCTTTGCTGCATCAAGGATTCTCTGCGAGACATCCTGGCTCAGCTCCTCCACAGATGCAGGGTATATAAGATTTGAAGTAGGCACAGTTCTTGCAAAGGTACTCAATGAGCGGTCCCCAATCTTCCAGCAAGGGAGCAAAGCTGTCTGCATAAAGAGTAGTGGAAGAGATGCTGAGGCACAGAGAGGGAAGTGATCGCTACCCACATCCTGGCGCAGTTTCAGTTCAAAAAGGGGTGCAATGTCTGCAGAGATCAAAACCAAGTCCAGGCATCCCCTTGTTCCGCTGCGTCTGTCAATATACGTGTAGAAATCTACGTCGTTCATTAATATAGTGGAGGTAGGTATTTATTAAAAGTTCCTTATATTTATAAGGAACTTTATAAAAAGTCCTGTTGTATCTGGGCGCATGCAGCTGGATGAAAGCAAATTATGATGTGCATTGAAGTCTCCAACAATTATGTATGTGGGAGTAAGTTGACTTAAATAGAAGGATATTTCATTGTATGTCATCGGCTTATTTGGGTTGTAGGTATCCATTATGGCAATGTGGCTATTATTGCTTAGCTGGAGCTTGGTAGCTTGAACTTCCAGGTAGCCTCCAGGGTATTTATGCAGGGAGAGGGTTTGGGCACATAAGGACTGCTTGACCAGGGTGCACAGACCTCCACCTCGACCATCTCTATGACACCAGTATGGAGTGTAGCCATGAAATGTTGGCAGGTATTTATCTTGAGTCCAGGTTTCTGAGAGGCACATGATACTTGGCTTTTGGGAGTATAGAAGCAATTTTATTTCTGCAAGGTGTGAGTAGATGCTATTGCAATTTAGTGCGATTATTGAGAAATCTGACAGGTGTGCAGATGCCATTATTGACCCTTACTTTTCTGCTGAGCCTTCTTCTTTTTTTGTGCTATTGGTGCAACTGTTGAGGTGGTCCCAACTGGGCCCTGATCACAGGTTTAGGCTGCTTTCTGCTGGTTAAGACCATTGCGGGTAACACGCTTGCAAGTTCCAATCTTCTTAGGTGGAGGTACTTTTGCAGGGAGTTCCACCTCACCAGAGTCAGAGCTTGACACAAGTTCAAAGTCAGATACATCAAATAATGATGGGGGTCCCCTGCAGCAGAGCAGACATCATCAGCAGAAGGGGACATATTAGGGGCATTGTAAGCATGCGGACTCAGTCTCTTTGGTCTCTGTTTATCTGGCTTGCAGGATGGTGTCTGTGGTGGTCCAACTGGTGGGAGGTCAATTTCAAAGTGTTTTTGCATTGCAGTCCGAATCAAGGACTGAGACTTATAACGAGCCTCATGATGCATTGGTAAAGCAAGCAAGTCTACAAAGAATCTGCAGAGGCGATCAAAGAAATCAGGATTTAATGTGGGCCTTGGTTGTTGGCTTGCAGGCAGCAGGAGGGAAGGGCCTGAAGATGGTAGTGTCTGCTGGTCCACAGGGGCTGGAGAGCAACGCTGTTGACTGGAAGTGGCTGCCACTGTGCAGTAGGTTTGTGTGTTAGTCAGGGCAGTGCCAGTGCTTGAGATTTGGCTGTTCATTCTATGATGGACTTGTGCATAGGTGTTATGCCTAGTAAGGCCAGTGCTTGTCTGGTCTCTCTGGCTCATCTGTCCTGTGGTGTCATTCTCAGTAGTCAGTATAATGGCTTGGCCCCCATGTTGGAGACTTTCCCATGCCCCGCTGGTTTCTCCCACCCCTGCTGGACTGCAAGGATCGGTGGTTCCTGGCATCATATGTCTGGTGCTGCTTGCTGCTTGAAGATGTATCAACAGTAGGCTTGGTCTTGCCGTGGTTTCTTTCATAATGCTCACAGCCTCACGTTGAAGTATGGATATAGTAAACAATTCACAGTCTAATTTGAGTTAGAGTCTGTAACACCGGTTTTCAAGGCGAGATCAAGGTGTATGGACAACCATTCACAATCACTGCTCATCGAACACTCCTCGACGTAAATTAAAGCACAGTTCGAACTTCGAAGTCCGACGAAGGCTGTCTCAATCATCAATGGAAGTGCAAAAAAACGTTTCACTTGACGGAAAAATGATCTGTCGCAATTCGTGGATAATGAAATGGTCCGTAACGGTAATTTCAGGAACAGAGAAAGTTATATATGATAATTTTTTTATTTTACGGTAAAGTTTATGAATAATAACAATCTTTCATATCATTCAAAATCTAATAATATTTCCACAATAATAAAGGCTAATATTTCCCAAATAATGAAGAACAGCGAGTGTTTTGGGATAAAATATAGGTAATCAATCAATTATTAAATGTAAATTTGGCTTTGCCCTGTGCATAAGCTCTTATTCAGGTCTCGGACAAATTTACGGCCGGACCCGCGGCCGGTCTCGCGACCGGAAAGGTTTTCTCAGTGTTTTTATGGGGTTTCCAGTTTTCGTTGATTGGCTAGGTTTTTCCTACGTTTGGAGTCCTGCGGCCGCGATAACGGCAGCGGGTCCGGCCGTAAATTTGTCCGAGACGTCTCTTATTCCTTGCTTACACCCACAGTGTTTGAAGGTTATATAGACTCATGGTTGTACTATATAAGGTTGACCCACGAGAAGTTCCGTCTTTCAGTTCAGCTTTCTTGTTACGTCACGTAGATCGAGTTAACGCTGTTAACGCTGAACAGCGTTAACAAACAGCGTTAACAGCGTTGTTCACTGCCCAGTAAACCAGGACCAGATCGATCAATAAGAGCAATGCCCGATTTTTTGCCATTGACTCACAAGGACTAGACTTGTTCCATTGAAATTTCAGCAGTTGCCATACTGATAGAATATAATAGAATATCGGTGTCAACGTTGAAGATAAGATCTTCAGGCCATTCGCTGACTCTGAACTCAGAATTTTCACAGCTTACTGCCATCGGACGAGCAACTCACGCTCCACCGGAGCAGAGAAGGTGCAGGTTCGATCTCGGACGTCTCGGAAAGATGCAGAATTGGAGCAGTGAGTTGTGTGTTCGAAACTGCAACAAGCTGTGAATGTTTTTTGATGTTAAGAATTGGCGACAGGTCTATCGGCCTGATTCATCTATTGTTGTCTTCATTATCTATCATTATTATCATTTCCATCATAATCATTACTATGATTTTTATTATCATTATGAAGGCGATTCAGCAAATTGATTCAATATCAAAATCTCGGATGATTAATAAACGTCCCCACTCTTAATTTTGCGGACTAAACTTGGCCAACGCTTCCGATATGAGTGTTGTTAAATCAGTAAAATCAATCGTTCGTCACATCAGTGTGATCAGTCAGAGGAGTGGGTTTCGTAGTGCGCTGCCGCCTGCCTGCATCCGTACAATGGGTTCTGACGAAGAGAGCGTAAGAGTTGTCAAGAATGCAACTGATTTACAACGTCTGAAATTAGAAAAGCTCATGAAAAATCCTGTAAGTTTTTTAATGTTAATATAGCATAGGAAAAGAACGTTGGAAGACGAAAGTCATCTCTAGGAGGCTAGGCCTAGGCCCCGGGCCCATAGTGACAAACCAGAGATTTTTTAGAATCAGTTAATTTTTAATTTCCTCATTTACTCAAAATTTAAACAAATTCATTATGTATGATAATGCTGGTATCCATGATACTTTGCTGGTCTACTTATAGGACTCTGGACTCAAAAATGAACTTGAGGGAGAGTCTAAAAAACACTCTGCTTTGCCACTATGCGCCTGGCCCCCGTTGTCAGGTATCCATAATACTTTACTGGTCTATTTATTGAACTCAAAAATCAACTTGAGGAAGGGAAAAAGATACCAAGAGTCTAAAAAAGTCTCTGACTCTGCTCTAGTCTAGGCCCCTAGGCCAGTGTGGAATTCTAGAGGGATATTAAATTAACCAGTACACATAGCATATTGGAAAGCAGGACCTGAAAGGTTGGAAAGTCCAGGAACTTTCCACTTCCAGACTCCAGTCCATTTTATTATATACATTATACATATCCTATCACTTTTCAACTGTGATTGGTTTATGTTGCTGGGGATGCTTTCAAGCTGTGATTGGTTGATGGGGATGCTTTCCAGCTGTGATTGGTTGTGCCCATAAGCCCCGCCCCCAAATATGGTATATGTACTACAGTACTGGTTAACTAAATACTTAACTTAAACTTGATCATTACAAACAAAAAGCCTGGAAATTTTTCTAAACATCAATTAAATAAAAGAAAAATAGAGAATATCTATCAAACAAGAGACATTCAAACAATTTTATAACAAATCTGAGGTACTATACAACTGAATTAGTTTGTCCACTTTTGATCCTCCTTTTCATTTATAGTCAGTCACCTGGCAGAGCACTGTGACTGTATCTAAGGAAAGCATTCCAACTTGGGTGGAAAGCTTTTTTATAAGTGAACCTCCATTTCTAGAATTCCACCCTGCCCCTAGCACTAGCAGCCTAGCTGAGACTCTGAGACTACTCAGAGTCTCAGACTAGCCGCCACTCACTAGTCTGCTCTATGCCTAAGGCTATGGGCTCCAGGTTTGGATAATTGGATCCATTCTAAATATTGGAAAATCGAGCCAAAGCCATCATTAGCCATGTATGAAATGCGTGAATGAGAGAGACAAGATTGTCCATTGCACCTTGTCACGGCTTGTGGCGGGTGGCCCATGTTTCAAGCCTTGGCAGCCAATTTCAACATGTTATAGCTTTTGCCTAATCTCTTTCAGAAAAAATTAGAATAGCATTTGCCACAAATTGCAAGCAATTGTTTACAATCTCTTGTGAAACACTAGATTTTACTGTAATTTTATATTTTTAGGCAAATGCCTAGTAGGTAGCCCAGAATCCAGATTGGGTTCTATTTTGAAAATTGGGCTGAAATTTTCTGAAATTGTTGTTGAAAAAGATCATTTCATAGCCAGAATTGTGGGGGATTGTTAAAAATAAAACAAATAAGCAATTTTTCTAATATTTATAAATTGGGTAGAGGTCGGAGCAATGACTTGGAATCCAAATCTTTTGCTTTTTAAATAGGGTTGGCAATGATTAAATCAAAATGATTAAATCACGTGATTAAATCACTTGAATTTTTTATAAAAAAATCATGATTTTTTTTATTTTTTTTATTTTTTTACATATTTAAATATATTGAGTGGCAGTCTTTGATTTATTTTGAGGTATTGTTATTCTTAGTTTAGTATAAATGTGCAATGACAAATTGGAATATAAACCTGTTGCCTTTAGTGTGTATTACGTTTCAATGGATTGTACCTATGTTTTTGGTACAGAGGCATCAAGTGTTGCAATACATTGTACATAGCTAGCAGCTTAGCTAATTCTTATAAGGCTATAAGTAGTCTTTAACTAACTATTTGTTATATATTATTAATTAATTACATTATACAATTTACACGTGCTACCTAGCTTATATAAGAAGGGTTGGTTGAGATTGTATTGACCACTTGACTATCAAGGCCACTTGACTTTTCCACCCTAATATGAGTATTCTTATTAAAATATTAAATTTCAATCTTTAAATATGTGAATTTACCTATAACTAGAAACAAAACAATTACAATTATAAAATTATATATAAAATAATTAAATGCAGTAAATGGTAATAAAATGTTTGAATTGTGACTTTTGTTGTGTACATATTTATTTCAAACAGTGTCAGGTTTTCTCATAACATAAGTCTCGTTTAAAGTCGTTTGAGGTTTGTTTGGTTGTCGTTCAGTCTATGTTTAGTATTGGTCTGAATCAAATGGGATGGATTAGTACAGTCAGTCACTCAGTCACTACTAGTTGGTGTGTTTAGAAGGTAGAGTGTGGTAGATTTATAGGACATAAAACTAGTTATAGATCTATTGATAGTGTTGTGCACTGCGCAATCAGCTACCCATCTGTTATGTGTCTCTTCAATGTTTAGAAGATCTGCATTCCTGAGGTGTTTTTGTATATTGAAGCCAGTTAAATAGTCAATATTTAGCTTGTTACCTTGCTCCATACAAACTTTATAAAGCTAATGAATAGGCATATCAATAATTGTTTACCCAGAAGTCCCAAAGTGGTAAACACCACCTTGGCCTGTTGGCTATAATTGAGGCAATAACTGCCATTTTCAGCCATCCATATACATGTTCCAAAATCATAGTTATATTTGTATTTTGTAATCTTGTAAATCTGTTCCTAAAAATGTAATTTTCTTTCTTTCCATCTACAATTTTTGCTAAAAAGTTGTTACATTTGATTCTATTTGATACTATTGTAAATTCTGTGATTATACCATCAGTGACATTACTGACATACCTTATCACATAAGTGAAAGAGATTATTTTAGTGACAAATAAGTAGCGTACCATAGCTACTTCAGTAACTACTAAAACATGAGAAAAGCAGGAAGACAGAAAGATGCGATTTGGAAATACTTTGATGAGATTCCAAGTGGACAGTCGAAAGGAATAAGAGCAAGATGTAAGGACTGTGGTAAAGAGTTGCAAGGTTTAGTTCAACGACTTCGCAATCACAAGTTAATTTGCAAATTGCCTGACCAGCCTGATTCAGAGCAAGAGGAGGAAGATGGTATTATGGTTTTGCCAGAGCAAGCCGAGCTACCAGGTAAAATTAAGATTAACCACCAACATATTGGTACCAATTACTATTTAGTATTTACTTATTACCAATAAGCATGTACTTGCTAAGAACTTCAAAAAATACACATACCTAATTCAGTAATTCTTGTTTGGTTTGATAAAAATAAAATAAAATCTTGTTTGATAAATAAAAGCGTCCTTGAACTCCTTTTTCATTTGAATAGGAATTTAGACTACAGTCTGGTGTACATGATATTACCTGCCTACTTTAATGTTTGGAAAGAGTAGAAAACTCCAAGTCTGAAAGTAATGTCACTCTGAGTTTTGAAAAGTTGCAATCTCTACTCTTTTTTAAAGCATTTGTGGTTTCCAGGCACTCAATAGATTAGAAGTCAAAGTCATAATACATCATATACCTATAGCTAGGTATATGTTCTTAATACTATTTTATTTTTATATATGAAGACTCATTATTTGAAACATTAGGTACTTTTGAGTATGAGCATTCTACTCATGAAGAAATCAAAATTTATTAATATCAGTAATGGTCTATTTTGTTCTCTTGTTTTTCTTCTTTCAGAGTTGAATTCTGAGCATAATTCAGATATATCCTCAGCAACTGATGAAGCATATGATATTTCACAACCTGGAACATCTGGCTTTTCTCCACGAACATCAACACCACAACCACCATCATCCACACCTTGGACTCTTTCAAGAAAGCGGAGCCACTCACGTACTCCATCACCATTACCAGTATTTTTGTCACCACAAGGACCATCACAAAAAGAGCCTAGCACAACAGTAGCAGCCTCACCTGCTGTAAAAAAATGTTCACTCAGTTCTGGATCCATGCAACAATTTACAATCAAGACAACAAAGGAAGATAAAAAATGTCTTGATTATCTGGTTGCAAGAATGATTTATGGTACAAACTCTTCTTTCAGACTTGTTGAACATGATTGTTTCAGAGAAATGATGGATGCAGCAAGACCTGGCTACAAACTTCCAACCCGAAGGGATGTGGCGGGTAGATTATTGGACGAAGTTTTTGACTCGGAAACTGAGAAGGCTGTGAACATGTTGCAGGGTCAGACTGTATGCATGAGTCTTGATGGATGGAGTAATGTTTCAAATGAGCCAGTCATATGTTCGTCAGTCACGGTACATTCATCAACCTCTTGTGAAGTGCACTTGGTTGATACAGTGGATACATCAGGCCATTCTCACACTGCAGAGTACCTACTAGAAGTAGTGAAAAACTCTATCAGTGTTGCTGAACAAAAATTCAGATGCAAAATTGGCAGCTTTGTTACAGATAATGCTGCAAATGTAACAAAAATGAGAACAGAACTGATGAAGGAAAATGGATTAATATGCTATGGTTGCTCTGCTCATCTTTTGAACCTACTAGCAAAGGACTTTGAGATCAGCAATATTAAAGAACATGTAGTTCAAATAGTTAAATACTTCCGCAACAACCATGCAGCTTCTGCTGCATATCGTGCTGCTGGAGGGCAAGCACTTGTGGTGCCTCAAGATGTGCGTTGGAACACACTTGCCGATTGTTTGGAAGTGTACCTAAAAAATTGGCCAATATTATTAGGTGTATGCGATGGAGAAAAGAGGAAAGAGTTAGACAAGAGCATTATTAGAAAGGTGATGGACAGAAACATAAAGCGTACTGCAGAAGATATGCTAAAAATTTTGAAACACATTTCAGTTGCACTAGACAAAGTTCAGAGTGATGCTTGTAATATTGGTGATGCAACGGAAGTGTGGAAAAACCTTGAAGGCCAACTTAATCAAGATTTTGATGACCATGATGGTGCTGATTTTGTCACAAAACTAGAAAAGCGAAAAAAGCAAGCATTAACCCCTGCACATTACCTAGCCAATATATTGCATCCAGTCCATAGAGGTCAACAGCTATCACCTGAAGAAGAGAATTCTGCAATGGAATGGGCTCATGAGGAATTTCCCAACAGCATGCCTCTAATAATGAAATTCAAAGCCAAGTTACCACCGTTCGTTCCATACTTGTTTTCAGACTTCTCCACAGAAGCTGGACCTCTTGTTTGGTGGTTGGCACTAGGGAGTAATTTGAAGGACAATGACCGTGAGCTGATGACTAAATTATTTACTACAACTGCCTCTTCTGCTGGAGTGGAAAGAATTTTCTCTTCTTTTGGACTTGTGCAATCTAGCATAAGAAATCGATTAGGAACTGCAAAAGCAGCAAAATTAGTTTTCATTTTCAAGCGGCTCAATAGGAAGGCAGATGGAGACGATCTCCATTAATCTCTCAAGTAGCAACTTAATTAGGTACCTGGATTCTAGATAGTGAATGTTTCTTGTAGTTTGAGGTTTTCACGTTGCAATGGTAATGAAAAAAAATTGTAGTAATGTCAATTATTATTATTTGTTGCTTTTGAAAAAAATACAAAGTGTTAGATTTTATCAGTTTTATTTCAGCTTTTGGCTTTAGCAAATGGGAGATTCTTAGTTTGATTTTTTCAACCTTTAAGAAAAGGTGACTAATTGCTAATGTTATTAGTCAGTATTGCTTTAGGCAAGAGTGTAATACCTATCTATTTTTATTGTTTTGTAATTTGTAGTTTATTAATAAAGGAAAGAGGATGGTTGATAACTTGAGAGAATAAACTGAATATACCGATTTTGTTTCAATTTCTTGTATGACTTAAATCCCTAAATATATTTTTTTTATTTCAGAATAACCACTAAAAGTCCACTATTATATAAGAAAATACTGTAATTGTTAGTAGGCTAATTGCAACATAAGAAATAAAATTTCAAAAAGACAAAAAAGCTGATAAAATCAAAAAAATCATGAAAAAAATAAAAAAAATCATTGATTTTTGATTTTTTTGATTTTTTTTTTTTAAATCTAAAAAATCGCCAACCCTGTTTTTAAATGTTTTTTGTCAATGGTCTCATACCTGTCAAGTGAGACAGTTTGCTAGCTGCCATGAAACTATGATGCATCTTTGAAAAAATGAAAAGATTCAATAATAACATACTTGATTCAGGTTGATTGGCTCTGATTAGTCTAATGTGAAGTAGATAAAATGTACGTTCCTATTTTTAGGGTAAACCATGAAATCACAGATACTGTATGCCAATCTTTTTATGGTTTGAATGTCAACTTCCATGATTTATAAAATGTGTTCACAGTTCAAAAATTGAATTCACAGCATCAAATTCAAGAAACTTAAGGCCTTAACCCTTTCGTGACGGCAATGTGTTCTACAACTTTTTATTCGCATTTTTCTACACAATCATCATGAACTTAAACCGAATATTGCATCTCCGTAAAAACTAATTAAATATATGTTAACGGTAAAAATTATATATTTGGGACTAGAAAATCCCGGTAGTATATGGTTCCAACTGAGGTGACACAATTTGCGACATCACTGATTTTGATAAAAAAAAATATTTTCGTAATGTTTTTGTTAGTAGTTGTATAATATCACAAACTTCCTTTGGCAAACATGTGTAATAGCTTATATAATAACATATCCCAAAAAACCTTCATTAATATTCCTTTAGATTGGACATATGTAGGCGCAAGAGTGTTTCTAATATTTCCCTGTAGTTAGCTATGCCTTGAATTTAGCGCTACATGCAAGTTATGGAGTAAATCGTTGGACGGGATGTCACAGTCCCGTCAGTCAATTACTTTTGAGTTGACATAGGCGCAGGAGTGTTACTCATGTGTCCCTGTAGTTAGCTATGCCTCGAATGATACGCTGTATGCAAGTTATGGAGTAAAACATTGAGCGGGACGTCACAGTCCCGTCAGTCACAAAAGGGTTAAAAGACAGACCTTTTTCTTACCAGAGAGTGGCTAGGTTAGGTTGTTAGTGTTGCAGTTTTTTTGTAACATTTAGATTATAGATAATTATTGTAGAATTAGTTTTGTCTATGGCTTAGTTGCATAGTGGCAAAGCACTAATTTAATCAGTGGAATATTGGCAGTACTTTTGTAAAATAGAGGGTAAAAATGATGGGTAATTGTGGGTTATTATAATGAAACAAGGCTAAATTACTGAGCGAGCAGAAATTAAATTAATTTTTCAATCAACTTCTTTACATTCTCATTCTGAACACTGATCAGTTTAGGAACATTCATATATATCTATATGTATTCTATAACTCTAATTCTTGTTATTTGGTTTAATAAACATGATGCCCATTCAAACACCTATCAGTCAGAAATTTCTTAAAAATGTCTTCTGTATTGATTCTCATTCAATACTGCATTGGTAATTTATTTTCACAATTATTCCAGGAAAAGCCAGCCTTCATTCCTGAAAGACCTAAAGAGAAGAAGTTCCCAAATGCTCCAGAATTTGTGAGGAATGTTATGGGGTCTAGTGCAGGAGCAGGCAGTGGTGAATTTCATGTCTACCGTCACATCAGACGCAGAGAATATGCTCGACAAGAGTTTCTTCATCAGATGTCTGAAAAAGTAAGGAATATTTACTCAGATTAATTATAATTTGTGTATATAGATAAGGGAGTGGTGAACTTTTTCTCATTACTCCTTCATAAGCTGTTTGTATGCTATGAAATATGCATGCGTGAAAAATTTTCATAGATAATTTTTCATGGATTAAAATGAAAGGAAATGATACAGAACAGGGCAGAACCGATTGAACAGTTTAGAGCAGTCAGTGCTTGCAGGGAAGGAAGGGGATGGGCGTGTGGGTGTTTTTTTTTCCAGCCCTTCTGGTATTCCCATTTCTGTAGCCAACATGGTGTGGTCAGGGGAACATTGTGGCTTTGCTGTGCGCTCATATTTGGAGAACAATCCATCCGTGATTGCAATGCAAAGAGCTTTACAGCGCCAGTTGACTATTCCATGCAATGATGCTCTTTCTCAGGCAAACACAATCTGTCCTGGGTTAGGCAGGTTTAGGCAGCTGGTAGCACACTAAGAAGAGATACACATGGTCAATGCAGGTCCATCAGAACACCGGAAAATGTCAAGAGGGTGAGAGCAGCAGTCATCCACTTGCCAAGGTGTTCTGTACAAAGGCATGCCGTTGCTTTAGGAATCTCCTCATGCAGTTTGAGGAGGATTCTGCATAGGGATTTGCATTTCCATCCCTACAAAATGATGTTGGCAAAACAATTGAACAAAGCAGACTTTGCCAGCCACCAAAATCTGTGTGAGAACATGCTTGGACAGATTTCTCCCATCGCAGCATTCTTCAGCAGTGATGAGGCTCATTTTGACCTCTGTGGGACTGTAAATAAGCAAAAATTTTGTTCCTGGGCTGAAGATAACCCCAAATTTATATATCAAAGACCACTACATTCTCTCAAACTATTGATCTGGTGTGCCATCTCACAATTTGGTGTGATAGGCCCATACTTCTTTGAGGAGGAGGGAGTAACCGTTACAGTGAATTCCGAATGCTATGCTGCAATGTTGCAAAATTTCTTGCAGCCCAGGATGGAAAACATTGTTGAAAATAAAGCATTGGTAGACATGTGGTTCCAGCAGGATGGGGCTACGGCCGATACAGCCCGAATGTCACTCAATGTTTTGAGATGCAGGTTTCCCAGACATCTGGTGTCTATGTAGGGTGATTTACAGTGACCTGCAAGGTCACCTGATTTGAGCATTTGCAATTTCTTTGGGAAGATCTTAAAGAAAGGGTGTTCAGAAATCGCCCTCACACCCTACCACAGTTAAGAGAACGGATTATTACTGAGGTTATGGCCATATGTGTGAATGTGCTGTAGGAAACTTCCGAGAACAACTCCAACAGTGTTGCAGCTAATGGCCACCATCTTCCTGATATTATTTTTAAAACATAAATATTCTAAATGGTATGTTATGCTAACCTCAAGGAAAATAAACTTTCTCGTTATGTACCTCAGTTACTCTTGTATTTTGCCTCAAAACTGCTCAATCGGTTCTGCCCCACCCTGTACAAATTAGATGAATCTGAAGTTGTATTGTACAAAATATTTGGAGATCTTGAATATGGCATTCTTCACAAATGCGAATTGTTAGAGAAATGAAATTTTGACAAGTCTGCATTCATTCAAATAGATGCAATTTTGAAAATTTTATATGAACTGTAATTATCAATAACAAATGTGCTACTTAATTAAACTACGTTTTGAATCTTATAGGTACATTTATTTATCAACCTCTCAAGTTGTGCATTTTATGATATATTGTACCATAAGACAGGCTGACTTTGATTATTTGTAGGGCTTACATTTTGTGTTTTAAATAGTGGTATATGGTGAATATATAAAATATCTATCTTTATTGCATTTGTAGCTTATATCATGGTACTTCAAGAATCAAGAGCCATCAACACAATTTTTGTAAGGCTAATACTTTTTGAGAACTATAGGGTTTCTTTTCTTTAATGTTAAAATGGTCCAACCCTGTCAATGGTAGCATTGTTAACATTCTAAATCAATCAAATTTAGTTTAAATTCTATCTACCAACCAGTAGAGTATATATAATATGATACGTATATATATAATGCTATTCAATGTATACCCAACTTGAGCTTATCCACAAATGAACAAATTTCCTACAGTAAATGCATTATTTCAGGAACGTTTGGATTATGAATATCACTGCAAGCTGAAAGAAAACGAGCGCAGCACTGCTGAGAAAGCTGCTAAGAAACGAGCCAAGCGACAACGCAGGAAGCAACACCTCCGAGCCAAGCGCAGCAAAGGGGCGCCGGGGAACAAGAATAACAGCAGCAGCAGTTCTGAGACTGAGGACAGTGAGGAGAGTGAAGAGGAGAATGTGCCTGGAAATTCTGCAGAGAAAGATGAGGAAGCAAACAAATGTGAGGACAGAGTGAAGGAGTCTGATGAGAACTGTGTTGTTGAGGTTAATGGAAATAATCTACCTGATTCATGTGATACAAACGTTAGTCAAAACAACATGCAGGATGAGAAAGAAGAAGCAACAAGTTCTGATATCCCCAGTGAGGAAAAGGCTGGTGAAAGTACATGCACTAAGAAAAGTCTCAAAGAATTGTTGAATAAAAATATTTTGAAATTGAAAGAGAAGGAGGATACTTGATTAGGAAAATTTTTCCGAAAGAGTTAGTAATTATTGAGAAGTGTTTAGTTAGCTTGATTATATAGTACCAGCAGAACACAATGAGGAAGAAAATTCAATATTTGAAATAAAAGAAGATTGTGATCTGTGTAAATATTTGTGTTAAGATTGTGATCTGTGTCCTGAGTTCATTGAACTTGAGAATCCTGACAAATATCCATTGTTGCCATTCATGTGTCGAATGAAACTGGTCAAAGAATATTATTGCGCGATTCATGTCATTGTTTCATTCAACAATTGTGTTCTCGTCAGTTAAATATGTCATTTTGAGCAAGAAATGAATACCTACGTTTGGCTTACATCCTGCAAGATGCCCATATCCTGGCAGCCTCTTAATCTGGAGCTTTTTTAGGCTCTTGTTCTTTTCTTTCTCGTGACCTGAAATGATATTTTTATAAAGTAAAATATTAGTTACGGTATCGGTTGCTAGGCCTGTGCATTGTTATTGACAATGCACAAGAATTAATGAAGCCAGTTAATTTGTAAGAAATACACACTTGGAATTTTTGTGTCTAAGTTTTGTGTTAACATCTTTTCAATGAAGATGACAATATCTCCCGCTTGTTATGCTTCCATAATTGTTTCTTATTCGAAAAGTAAGTTAAGTCAACAAACACTATGCTTAATGGGCAAAAATTCTTGTAGGAAGATAATGTTATTCCGAAGTATTAATTTATAGCAGCGCCTTGAAATTGTTGCAAAATGTTAGTGAAAAACAGCCAGATGTTTATCAGGCTCTGTGTTATTAGTTTCAACTTACGACGAATCATATCATTTGGTATGCTTAAAAATGAGACCACTACCAATAGTATGATTATTAATTCACCTTAGGGAGCCACAGTTCTTGGTGAGGCTGCGAAGTTGGCGAATTTGTTCCTCTTGCTGCTCAGTCAGCTGCTGCAGTCGCGACACTTGAGACAATAATTTGCTATTCTCCTGCTCAAAAACTTACATTGTAAGTAAATGATGAAATTCGCATGATCTTTCTGTTATAAATAATTCTGAGCACTAGAACTGGGAACCGAATGTATGTTAAGATTTGCTGGAACAAGTATATATTGTCGCAACATACGAACTTCCGCTCTACTGATCGCGTGCTATTTGCTAGACTTGAAGAATTTGTTTGAAAAACAATCCGCAGTTAGTTACTTGTAATTATTACTTGACACTGACATGCTAAAATGAATGCCCCGAACTCCATCAGAGTTGTACGAGATCAGCTCATTGCCTCGAAGAGAAAAGCTATTGAAAAAAAGCTCGAAGCTAAAAGCTATTGAAAACACACACCGACACCACCTCATACTTGAGGTGGTGTGTAATCTCTCTTAACTCTATACACCAAGGGCTAGGATAGTGATGATGTTAATCATCCTCTATAATGAGACCCCTACCGTGACGAGCGTGGCCCTGGCTCGTCTATGTGCCGCCTCAGTGTTGACGGCGGCGCTTTTGAGTCTCGACACGGCGCGTTCCAGCCGCTGTCGCTGCCGCAGCAACTCCGCTGCTGTGCTGCTCTCACTTCCAGCGCCATCATCGTTTGCCTGACATAAGCACACAAAATTGAACAAAATGCAGCAAAATACATGCAATTTGCGCGATATGCCATTACTTCTCGTCTCGTTCTTATCGTCAATGAGTAAGGAATAGATGTTCATGAATAATATATTCACTTCTATCTATTGCTGATATAGCACTCATGCCGTTGGTGCTGGGAGCAGGAGCGCGGCCAGATGCTGCACACAGCTCCCTGGACAACCAGATGCTCATGTAAACCAGACGTAGGTAGATGAATAGTTGCGTTGGCGGCTATACTCATGGTTGAACTATATAAGGTTGACCCACGAGAAGTTCCGTCTTTCAGTTCAGTTTTCTTGTTACGTCACGTAGATCGAGAAACATAAACAATCCCGTCATTCTCACTCCTGATTGGTTGACTGGTTTGATCGCATTTCGGTGAATGGTTGACGCCCGTGACGTCACTGCGATCAGTGACGCCCAGACGAACAACTAGCTACATCCGCAAAAATGAGCATCTCATGGGTCAAGCTTATACTAGTTCAACCATAGCTATACTCACCGTGTGGGGAAGCGCTGCTGCGGCGTTCAATGCAGGGCGCGTCCAAAAGCCCTTGAGCTCGGCCGGCGTCAGGTGGCGGTCGTTTAGTTCCTGTGAAGTATTTCATCCCAACAATAAATCAGTCGTTCAATAATAATATTTTTTTACCTTAAGCAAGCAACTGAGCATAAAAATGATGAATTTGTTGAGATCAAGGCCATTTATTTGATTATAAAATAAAGTAAAAAGAAACTCTATGTACGTTGTATGGCTTTTTCATACGACAGAGATTGTTAAATTTACTGTCTTTGTTCTAGCATCGTTATATTTCATTTACTATATTGGGCGATACGAAATAACTGAATTTATTTATACGCTCATAGAAATTGTTTACGTTCGATTAGGTAGTGGTTCATTATCTCTCAGCTCAGGAAAAAATACCCGAACGTACGTGCACAATTCATAACAAATCGAATAAATCACTTTGCGCTCAGCAAACTTTTTTCCAGGTGATTTATTAATTTATTGCGTTCACTTGGACTCGCCCTGATGGTTGCTTTGAGTTGACTGGGGTTGTTGATGACCGCAAAGGCGGCCGCAAGACCGTCCAGTTGCCGAGCGCACGCTGCCGTCCTGCAGTGCAGGCGGTACGACAACTGCGTCTGCTCCTTGCGGGCACCCGCCAGCTGCCGAGCCAGGTTCTTCGTCTGGCGGGCACGGCTGCTCACCTCCAGCTTAGCAGCGTTTTGTGCGTCGCTCAGCTGACACGCATAAACATTATCGGAATTGAGATTGTGTGGCGAGGTACTAATCCAAATTTAGTATGCCTTCATCTATTTTTGTTCATGAGTGAGATTGTATGATGTCACAATAATCAAATATACTCTTAACTCCTACTCTCCTCGTTCATGAGTGATATTGTATGTAGATTAATAAACAAAATAGACTTAATATGTACTGTAGAGTAATAATCAAAATGTCCTGCATATTCTATCCGAATTATCGACGAACAACAAGCTTATCTGTATCATGCATCCTGCATCATCTGAATCGATGATGCTTCAACGAAATACAGAAGCCGAGACACCACACATGTACAAATGGAATTACTTGCTTGATATTTTAGGTCTAATCCGGCATATTTCTTGCTGAAAGTATTTCCAGTAGTGATGATATTATGGTTTTATTTCGTGGAAATAGCTTACCTGTTATTCATTTACACACTAGTGGAACTTTATTATAGTTGCTACATGATAGCTATGAGCACTCAATTGCTAAGCGTGATCAATACTGGAGGAAGCAATATTCTAGAAGCATTATGTTAACATCCTAGCTATAGGATCGCAGTTCGCTCCCAATCGAGCAATCAATAATGATGAGTGTGCGGCGTGTCGTGCTGTAGTGCATACAGTATTGCTATCCGGAGCCTTCATGACGCACTAACGGGAATTAATTTAGAAGAATTTTTTACTAAAATTGTAATTTTACTAATATCTTTGGCACGTGCATTGAACAGTAAGGGATATGATTGATCTAACTGATGAAGAGTAACGATTTTCTGGGCACAGATGACCACTATATTTTCAGTAGCGGTATATTTACTATATTTTCAGTAGCAGTAGCGGTAGCGCCCGCTACATATTCAAGTAGCGATACGAGGTTTTGCCTCTACAGCGCTACCGCTGCATTTATATATAAAGCCTTTAGATTTTACTTAATAGTATTAAATATTATCTAAAAACCAGCATGATACATATATAATATAAATTACAGAATAAAACTGTACGAAAGATTTCGGTGTAATGTTGTCAACGTCAGCCTGTTACTAGTGTCAACATGTTAGTTGTTACCAGAGGTGGGCAGTAGCGCGCTACATGTAGCGGCCGCTACATTTTCAGTAGCGGTAGCGGCATTCATTTAAGCAATTGTAGCGGTAGCGGTAGCGCCCGCTACATTTAGAGCGTGTAGCGGTAGCGGCCGCTACATTTTCAGTAGCGGTAGCGGCATTACATTTAAGCAATTGTAGCGGTAGCGGTAGCGCCCGCTACATTTAGGTAGCGGCCGCTACATTTCAAAGTAATGCTGTCAGCTCTTCACTTATGCATAAATGTGGTTGCAACGAATTACAACTTTCAATCTTACAACACCACCCATTGGTGATTTGCAATTCAATGTATAGAAATAACGAACTAAAAATTAAAACTAAATTATGGCTAGAAAGAAGAGATAAAAATGATTTGAAATGAATTGATGTAGCATAATGGAGGAGCCACGGACACCTGTTTGATGAGGAGGTCCTTCTGCAGCAGCTCCTCATCGACGGCCTCCAGGCGGAGCCGCAGCTCCCGCACCCGCGCCCGCTCCTCCGCCACCTGCTGCTCCGCCTGCTGCAGCGCCGCTGCCCCGCGGCTTATATCCTTCTCCTGTACACAACAGCCTTCCTTGTTGAACATTATCGTGGAGTTAATTCGGCACTCGATAGAGAACCTACAACAGCCTTCCTTGTTGAGCATTATCGTGGAGTTAATTCGGCACTCGATAGAGAGCCTACAACAGCCTTCCTTGTTAAGCATTAGCGTGGAGTTAATTCGGCACTCGATAGAGAGCCTACAACAGCCTTCCTTGTTAAGCATTAGCGTGGAGTTAATTCGGCACTCGATAGAGAACCTACAACAGCCTTTCTCGTTAAAGCATTCTCATGAAGTTAACTCGGCACTCAATAGATAACCATCTCAACAGAGAGCCTACAACAGCCTTGCTCGTTAACCATTATCGTTGAGTTAATTCGGCATTCAATAGAGCACTATAGTTTATTGTACTATACTTAATATAGTACTATGCTCAATATTCCTACTCTATTTTTATGAATATAGTAGGTATGGAGTAGAAAAACAAAATTTTTGATGTAACTGTGTCAAAACGTTTGCAGTGACAGTTATCTAGGCTTAAATTTTCCTCATCGCCAGAAAGCTGAACGTGATTAATTGTATATTGTTTACTTGACTAATGAAATTGCCAGTATGAAAATGGATTGAAAATGGTTATTCGAAACATGGTCGCTTAACACGGGCAGCACCAGCTTGCCTTAGACAAGATTGTGGCATCCTTCTGGCCGACCACTTGGCGCAAGAGTGTCACTTCCTTGCGGTACTCCTCAGCCACGCCCTCCAGCCGCGTCTTCTCCTGCTGGTGCTCCGCCGACTCGCTCAGACATCGGGCGCTTTCCTTCTGAAGTCTGGCGATGGGGCAGGGTTATGGTGATACGTAAACACTAAGCGTCCTTGAAATATTGATGTTCACTGCGAAAATTAACCAATAAAAAGGCTGCTATTGTGAGAACCACAGTTGCCAAGAATATTTCTGTTTAACATCTTGTCGGTATTTTCATTTTGATCGTGAAACATTTAACCCAGATTATGCTCTTTCGACAGTAAAATAAGCAGAGCTGGGCAGCGCTACTTTGAAATGCAGCGGCCGCTACCGCTACCGCTACATGCTCTAAATGTAGCGGGCGCTACCGCTACCGCTACACCTACTAGATTGTAGCGAGCGCTACCGCTACCGCTACAGTAAAATGTTATAATCTTAGCCGCTACAATGGCCAAAATTATTGGAAATATCTAAATATTTATTGTTCTGCTATTGGGATTTACTCATAAACATTCAATGATGATAAACAATTTTCAAAACATATCAATGCAACTTTATTGCAATTAATCTAACCGAACTAGTACGGGTTAGATACAGTAAATAAAAGTTACAGTTATTTTTATGTTTTACCTTCCCTTCATGGATGTCTACGTTAATCTACCAATCTCAAAAATTATCCACATATACATATAAAAAATCAGTCTTTTATTTTTATATATATATATATGTGGATTATTTTTGAGATTGGTAGATTAAAGTAGACATCCATGTAGGGAATGTGAAACATAAAAATAACACTGTAAAAATAACTGTAAGCAAACTGGAACATGAAAAAATACCTGTAAGTGGTAACTGATAACTACTTAATTAACAAGTAACAACTAACATGTTGACACTAGTAACAGGCTGAGGTTGGCAACATTACACCTGAATCTTTCGTAGTTTTATTCTGTAATTTATATTATGTGTGTATCGTGCTGGTTTTTAAATAATAATTAATACTATTAAAGTAAAATCTAAAGGCTTTATCTATAAATGTGGCGGTAGCGCTGTAGCGGCAAAACCTCGTATCGCTACTTAAATATGTAGCGGGCGCTACCGCTACAGCTACAATTGCTTAAATGTAGCGCCGCTACCTCTACATGTAGCGCGCTACTGCCACCTCTGAAAATAAGGCACAGAATATTTCTGATTTCGTCTGTTATAATCGTCTGTTATTGAGTAGGCAAAAATGGGAATTGAAACGATATTAAAAGTGGCGAATGATCAATCAAGCGTTTTTTGGACAGCATGGTTGTACTAGTTCAATTACATGGAGAATGCATACGATAATTTAATACGAGTTAAATCTAGAAACGAACGTTATCTCATATTAGAGAATAATTAGCAAATTTTTTGGCAATAATCAGGAGAGTGATTAGAAAACGAACAAGGGAGAAGATACCATAAGAAAAATATCAATTGAAACCAATTTAATTACAGATATATCATTTGGAATAACGAAAATATGCTAAAAACGATGAGAGAAGTCAATTAATAAATACAACGCTGAGATTAAGATGAAAATCAAGGACTGACTTATCATTTTGCTGCACAAGGATCGCCTTCTGCTTCCTGAGCTGTTCGTTGGTCTGCCTCTCCTCCTGCAGGAGGCCGAGCAGCTGCTGCCTCACACCTGCCACCTCAGCCTCCTGCACCGCCTCCTGCAGCCTCATCGCCTCAGCATGCTCCTTAGCAGCTTCACTTCGCTCCTCCTCCAACTGAGCAGGATCAATATAATATTGCCCTAAAACTTGCACTCGAAGGCACTGCTTTTTATGCGATCCACTTAATTTTATACCGTATCGTACACATTCATTAGGATATTTCGGAGTGTTCTAAGTGAGCAGTTACGAGTGCGGGCATAGCGTATCCTTAAGTACTCTTAATGACCACAACAGACTGCACATTGTATTGCACGACAACTACCTTTACTCAGGTTTGCTTCTACTGGTAAGATACTTGCCTTGCTGAGTTTCTGCAGCAGTTCAGCCTCTCGTTTTCGCAATATTCGCACATTCTCTTCCAGCTCCGCTCGAGTCTGCCGCTCGACAGCAACGACTTTCCTGGGGATGTTAACCCTGAATAAATATCAAAGTATTTGCTTTTCGTAAATTAAGAGCAATTTGATGAAATAAACAGAATTTAATTTTCTTCGAATTGTAATTTGAATTTTTTTAGCATCAGATCATGGTTTAGATACGGCTGGTATTTCTTCCACGTCTCACTGCTCCATTTCGAGCTGGAGTTCGGCAAGCTGCTGCTGGAGTTTGTCTTGCTTGGAGTATTCGAAGAGGAGCTTCTGCCGCGTCTCTTTCGCCTGCTGCTCTAGAGATGCCAAACCGCTAGCCCTCTCATCCTCCAGTGCCTTCTGATGTTCCTCCATCGCCCTCTGCAGCTCATGCTTCTCACGCTACAAAAATATTTTCATAATTCGCTCAACACGAATATGCAACGCCTCTAAATTAAATATAGAATCTTCTGATAATGTACACTCACTGTCTTTACATCCGCTGTTCAAGCCTTTCATCCATTTTATTGACTTCAACCTGACGAGACAGTAACCAAAGGCGACGTTTCGCGGTTAAACGCTGCACCAAATATACAGCGTACATAAAAATGTTTGACATCCACCTTTAGGGTTTCGTTTATTGACGAGACATGCTAGGCAAATTGGCTTTTTTCCATTTCTCACTTCTAGAGCAGCTAACCTCTAGGTTGTGTTGAAGGTGTAGGGCAGGTGTAGAGTGTAGAGGTGTAGGGCAGCACTAACCTCTAGGTGGTTCTGAAGCTCTTGTATCTGGTGGAGGTGTAGGGCAGCACTAACCTCTAGGATCTAGGTGGTTCTGAAGCTCTTGTATCTGGTGGAGGTGTAGAGCAGCACTAACCTCTAGGTGGTGCTGAAGCTTTTGTATCTGGTGGAGGTGTAGGGCAGCACTAACCTCTAGGTAGTGCTGAAGCTCCTGTATCTGGTGGAGGTGTAGGGCAGCACTAACCTCTAGGTGGTGCTGAAGCTCTTGTATCTGGTGGAGGTGTAGGGCAGCACTAACCTCTAGGTGGCTGTCTCTTATACACATCTAGATGTGTATAAGAGACAGCCTCTAGGTGGTGCTGAAGCTCCTGTATCTGGTGGAGGTGTAGGGCAGCACTAACCTCTAGGTGGTGCTGAAGCTCTTGTATCTGGTGGAGGTGTAGGGCAGCACTAACCTCTAGGTGGTGCTGAAGCTCTTGTATCTGGTGGAGGTGTTGCCGCTGGAGGTCTGCGAAGGCGGCGTCGTGCTGCTGCTGCTGCAGCGTCAGGTGGTGGCGCTTGTCACGCGTCAGGTACTGCACTTCGTTGCTCAGCTCGCGCACTTGGCGTTCGGTCGTCTGATTTAGCGGGGGATGATTATAGGATTAACAAAAATCAGGAGGTTATCAATAAGAATAATTTTCTCGTAACCAAACTTTTTACCTGTATAGCTTAAATCGCTTCATTTCAAATGATTGATGACTTGAAATAGATAATCTCAGAGTTGCAGACACATGATCTACTCAATATGAGGCATATTCACTATTTGTTATATGAACGTATTTAAAAATTATATTCTAGTAATAGAACGTAGTAAACCACTTCACCATATAATAGACGTATTAAACCACTTCATTTTATTTCTACAGGCTGGAAGGAATTCACCTCGAGTTGTTGCCGCGTGACGAGCATCTCAGGCGCCAGAGGAGGCAGGTTGAGGAGACGCTCCTTGGCCACCAGCGCCCCTGGGGCGTCGGGCGACACGTCAGCCACGCCCCACACGACCACGACGCCGTCCTCCCCGCACGTCACAAGGCAACCCTCGTCCCTCGTCACGCAGATCTGATGGGTCAATAATGTGTTTGAATACTCATATCAAGACTAATTTTCGTTGAGAATTACTAGTAATATAACTATTCAATTCATGTCAACTAACTTCGGGAATGCGACTCATGTTTCTGCTATTAAAATAATGAATATTTCATATAAGATACATAAGTTAATCATTTGAGGTTTTACTGCGAACAATTATTGTGTTGTTTGCTGTAACCGACTATAAAACTTGGATCGAATGCTTGTCATAACAATGATTTTATTGCGACTTGGCAGCGGCCATGCAATACAGAAGATGGTACAGAAAAGTCTACACACCGCGGTGACCCGGCCTGCGTGGGCGGGCGAGGACCTCATGGGGCCCACGGCCGCGAAGCTGCGGGGCGCCCGCGTCAGCAGCAGCGCCCCCGAGCTCTGCCCCAGCGCCAGCAACGTCTTCACGGGCGCCACGCCCACGCAACTCACGTCCTCCACTGCCTCTTCTTGCATCAACTTCAAGTGCATTAAACTCCGTTAGGTTTGATCGTTACGCGCTTGTAATGTCTTTTTCTGAGGTTTACTGAGTAAAATAACTTAGTAACTTACGAACGTACTTGTGTTATAACTTATAACTTAACTTGTGGCGTCAACACATTTAGGAAGCAAAAATTGTCGAAGCAGACTTGAATAAAACAAAGTGCTTTGATATTTGGGTATTTGATGTAAAGTTGTGCTCCATTTCGGAAAGGCATGAACTGAACTGATGGGTGTAGGGAAGATATATGAAATAAATGAACTGGCACCTTGATTTACGCGGATTAAAATAAATAATAAATATGTATGTGTGGGCAATAACTACAGCATGTTAAACCCACTGAAGCACCTCGTGTTATACCGAACGTAGATTTCATTCGTAATAAAAGTTCACCTGTTGCTTTAAAGTTCCAGCTGCTGGTATATTCCGCTTGATAGGCCTTTTTAAACAACGCTTAAAGTTGTCGTTAATTTTACAATTGCAATCAACATCAGCTCATGCGAGTTATTTATCAGCTCTCATCGATATTTATTAATAAATCTGAGCAGGAAACTAAAGCTCTGAAAACATATATCACCGGTCGGTTTGTCAGAAAATGGATGCAAGAAGTTTGATTTTGTGAAGTTTACGATGAATGTTCAATAACCTCCCGGTTGATGGACTTAGTTTCAATTTTACAACCGTTAACTATTGCACTGAAAAATGCGAAAATCTACATTATTATTGAGCATATGTCTCACCTGGCCACCTGAGACCTCGACGAGGTGAGACGAGCTGCCAGCGATGAGGCTGGCTTTGCTGTCCAGTGAGAGGAACGTCTTGAAATATTGACAGCCCTGAGCCGTCTGCAGCTGCACGTGAAAGGCTGCGGTATAAAATGCTATATACATTTAAATTTCTTGGATGGAAATGCCTTCAATGAAAATATTATGCCGTTTGTCATGGAATGAAGGTCTATAGATTCTAAAGATATTTTTGATCAGTTGGGCGCACTTTATCCTAGTAATAATTGAGAAAAAATCTGCTTCAAACATTGCAGCATGCATGGAAAATTGAGATATCTACAGGAACAAGAAGTTCGATAATGATTGAAATGAAGGGCGATAATTAGGCACGGATTTTTGGTAATTCGTTTCCAGTTGCTTCTACTATCACATTTTTCCATCCTTTTATAACGAATTGTTTCTCAGCCTCTCATTGTTTCTCACCTGCTCAAGGAATAAAGAACTTACGGGCATTTTTGGAGGCACGGCGCAGACTTACACAGGGATAACTGAACAACAAATTGATTGCATATGCATGAAGGAAGAACCTAATGTCTGAAAGACGCAAAACATTCAGACTGCGGCATCGAGACATTATTAATGAACTTTTTTGATGAAATTTCAGTGGCTGCATTTAGAAAAGTTCTTTGATAAGCCATGCCACACTTAGAGAAATTTGTTAAACTTTCTCCAAATAACCATCTCCTATTTTCCCCATTGTGGGTCATCCTGACGCAGTTTGGCTCGGTAATGGGGCAGTCTATCAATGCTGCGTCCTCTCCCAGTTTGTGCTCTTGGTGAAAAAATCAGTCATTTTTTGGACTACATAACTCAGCTATCTTAGTGCACGTTCATTGCATTCATGAATTAATTATATACTTGAGCTACCTGGAGAGCGGTGGTGCCCGTAGCCACGTCCCAGGCGAGCACGACGCCCTCAGCAGCTGTAGCGAAGACCTGGTGGTCGCCGGGGTGCCATCCTACACACTGGATCTACCACCAGCCATATTAATTGTTCATTCTTTAACTTACGCTGAATAATAAAAATTCGCGGTAAAATAAACACGAGCTTCTAATGAAAATATTACATTTTCAGACTTGTTGCTTTCCATGCGCCTGTATGACTGGTAAACTATTTAGCAAAGAGAGTTGAAAAGAGCGTAAGAAATTTTATTTCAAGAGACTTCAGGACGTTTGCGTTTGGACGTAACGTTTGCGGCCATTGGTACGAATGTCCCATAAATAAACATGAAGATGATTAACAGAGACTCTGTTGAAGTATTTTATAATAAAAATGTTACACTCTCATAAATAATAATAAAAAGTCCTAATAACTTATTAATAAAAATTTAATCTTAACATCTTAATCTCAAAAACCTAATCTTTTTATTTTAATCTTATTACCTTAATACTAATAATTAAATCTAAATAAGAAAATCTTCATAAATTAGTAGTACCTTGCCGGCATGTCCTTTGAGCGCGAGGTGCCGCCTGAGCGCTATGGTGTGCACCACAGTCACGACGCTGCCGTCCGCCGCCGCCAGGTACTGCCCGCCGTGGCTGAAGCTGCAGCTGCCGCAGCGCCGTACGCGCACCTCCCAATACTGCTGCAGTCCCCCCATCATGACGTGGTACAGCCGCACGCTGTCTGTTAGTGACACGGCCGCGTGCAGACCTGCACACGTGATGTGTACTAGTGACTTGCCCAAGCAGCACCTCCCAATACTGCTGCAGTCCCGCCATCATGACGTGGTACAGCCGCACGCTGTCCGTTAGTGACACGGCCGCGTGCAGACCTGCACACGTGATGTGTACTAGTGACCTGCCCAAGCAGCACCTCCCAATACTGCTGCAGTCCCGCCATCATGACGTGGTACAGCCGCACGCTGTCCGTAAGTGACACCGCGGCGTGTAGACCTGCACACTCACCCCAACAGCTCAGTGATTTATTTACGCACCGTATGTGCCTATAGTTGCACTGGTGACCTGCTCATGCCCAATACGCGCTCAGTGACCCGCTACTTTCCACAGGTGCTCAGTGTTCTACTAGTGACAGGCCTGTTCAATATCACAGGTTTCCTGTATTAAATGAACAAATTTACCAGTGGGATGCAGGGCGACGCTGTACAGGTCTTCCTTGAAGGTCTCCTGCAAGAGTAGTTCCTGCAGGCTGTAGTCCCACAGTAGGAAGGTCCTGTCACGCCCGATGGTGGCGCAGTAGGTCTTCCATTGACACACGTCGGCCGAAATCACAGCCCCTACGTGGTGGTGAGTGTGCAGGGGGCGGAATACTGAAGATGTGACCTGCAAAAGGAACTTCACTGTGTCAAAATTCTTTGAAATTAATTAGTTGACAGAGGTGATTTTCATTTCCGCTTCAGTGCTGATGACATCATGCAAAATAGTGTGATGCAGAAGATGTGCAAGTGTGAAAACAGGGCGGATTTTTGTTACAGTTCGAAGTCCCAAGATTGGAGCAGAGAGGTGCGGGTTCGATCCCAGCTTCCTACGACAGTTTTGGTCAAATCGGTAAGGTGGCCTAGCTGTTAAGAAACGTTAAATTGGATCAGCGAATTGCGTGTTTGAGACAGCAACAACTGCGGATGTTCTGCGATGCTCAGAATCGCCGACAGGTCTAAATGTCTAATCAGCGCTGACACCGCTTTAATATAATAAAAGCAGGTCAAAACAAGGAGTTAACATGAACTAAGGCTCGCTCTTCGTGCTTTTGTTTTGTCCTGTAGTAACAGTGATTTGTGACTCGCATAATCTCATGAGCATCATGGAAAATCCAGGTATATCATTACCATTATCATTCATTTATTAATAAAAGATGGCATCAGCGATTAATTTAACTCCTATGTTTCCCGATTCGCCACTCAGAAAAATGAGTTATACTTGTCCAAATGTCGATCTACTTTTTGCCTTGTAAGGATCATCTCGATCTTGTTTGACTAAGAAAAATAACGTATCAGTGCTATATGCAGGCTGTGTGTCTACTTAATAGACCAGTGGTTCCCAAACTTTTTCAGGCTGGCGCCCCCCACAGACACATATAAAATCATGCGCCTCTTTCTATAAAATTTAGCACGCTGTAATTTTAAAAGATAAAGGTTAAACACAAATGTGTATTTCACAAATAGAACCCCTTCTAGTGACCCAATATGTTTTTCAGCCGTTTCAACTGTTTCAACACTAGAAACCTAGGACTTCTCGGGCAAATTTACGGCCGGACTCGTGGCCGATCTCACGACCTATCTCCAAATTCAATTATCAAGTTATATCACCCAAACTAATGAACTCAGCTCAATAAAACTTGTAACATGTATTCATCAGAACTTGACGGTGATGTTTAGCTTGCGAAAAATTTTAAATATCACCTTCATTCGTGAGTTATATCGCGATACAAATTCGCAGTGATCAAAGAATTTCTTCCAAACTACCGAACAGATTTGAACGAAATTTTGAATGTACAGGAGTGGTCATTTTCTATGAAATGATCAGAAAATTGAGACGCAATTCGAGTGTAGACTTGCGTATTATTTGATTATTGTAGAGGAGGGATTTGGGCGGAGGGAATATACGGTAATTGAAGTAGGGAATGTACGGTTCTCATAACTACCAAATGGTGTTTTTTAGATTAAAAAAATTTTTTGATTATAATGTCGTTTGCGAGATTTTTTTTTTTCATTTCACAGTCATTCTTGATTTCACACTTCCATATTCGCTTTCGTTCGAAAGTTATACAGATATAGGATGAACGACCGGCTTTTCTACCGACTGGTTTAACCAAGAGCCGTTTACGTATAGCCGTATAACTCGCAAACGAAGGCAAAACGAAAAAATTGTAACGAGCTAAGCATCACCGTTGCTGAGGTTAGGTATTAAAATACTGAATTTCATTCAAATCTGTTCACTAGTTTGGAAGGAATTTCTTGATTACTGCGAAGTTAAGCACGTATTGCTGTTTAAATCACGAATGAAACTCGCGAACGAGGGCACAAGCGAAAAATTTTTCACGAGCTAAACATAACCGTTCGATACTTAGGACTGTCAATTCAAAATTTCGTTCGAAACTGTTCAGTAGTTTGGAAGAAATTTCTCGATCACTGTGAATTTCGGCCCGTATTGCCATATAAGTATGGCAAAAAAATTGAAGGCAAAATTCAAAAATTTTTCACGAGCTTTACATTACCGTACCATTAGGTCCTAATGAATACGTGCACCACGTTTCATCGAGTTAAGTTCATTAGTTTGAGAGATATTCCTTGATCATTGAATATGGAAATTGGTCGTGAGACCGACCGCGAGTCCGGCTGTTAATTTGTCGGAGACGTAAACCCAGGAGAGGGTAAAAAATATAACGCCGTATTCGCTGCATTGAGTGACAGCGAGCGCATTTTCTCGTCGACGAAAACGTGAAGTCACGGACGGACAGTTTTCCATAAGTGAGAAAATGCGCCAAAAACAGATCTGGGTGAAAAAACCATCGCTGGGAGTCATGTGCTGCACGTGTTGTGTACAAACCGTCAAACAAACGTTCGAACATCTGACTGCGACTTCGGACTGTCGTCCCCCTATCGCCCCCCTATCACCTTCTACTTCTTTACCGCCCCCAAAATCTTTCCATCGCCCACTTTGGGAACCACTGTTATAGACGATATGACCCCTTATTTTTTCTGAGAGTGGATGATAAAACTTACGAGGCTATCATCGAGAGCAGGTATGGCGTTGGTGAAGATCTGCCCCGAGTGCGTCGAGAGGACCAAGGTAGTGCCGGAGGGGTCGGCGGAGAGGCTGGTGACGGTGTGCTGGCCGCGTCCGCTCACCAGTGACGCCGGGCTGGGCTCGCACAAAAGCAGCATTTGCCGCTGAGGGTACAATTTTAAAAGTTTAAATTCTACACAAAAAGTCGACTTTCTCAGTTAGCTTGCTGCAATTTGCAGCATTTGAGCTATAATACAAATGATACTCTTTCCAAGAATAATTATTATAAACACAAAAACGTTACGCCTGCTTTTCAGGAAAGCCCTTAAAAGTCTAGAGGAGCGATCGCAGAACGCAGCATCAAACCCAAACGGCCCCACGCAGTGAAATTTCTCGTCCGAGCTTCCTTCTATAACGTCGGGCCGTCCGCATCCTACGTCAGGCTGCACACTTCCCAACCTCCACTCCCACAAAATCGTGCATACTGTCACTAGTCCCTTCTTGTTCTTGAGAAGAACTTTACCTCTATTTTGTTTGCATTATTGTGTAAGCTAAACATAAATAAAAATTAACGTTTTTAATTATCGAACGATTTGCTAGAAAATTTTGCATACTTATTTATTTTTAGGATTTATACAGGAATTGATAAATTTTACTTTATTATCAAATTGGTTTTTTCTTACTGATAACTCTTATTCGAAATACGTGTTCATAATTTACAGCAATGCTGTATCGTGACAGCACAAGCAAGCTGATTTAGGCTGATTCATAAAAGCACGTTTAAAGATTGGTTGAACATAAATACCACAATTTCATGTCAATCGAAATGCACAAAAGTCACGCAGCGTCAACAGTAATGTGCAAAAATTGTGGCGATTATTATTTACATTAAAGCTCCGACTGCTTCACCAATAAAATTTTATGACAAACGAAACAATTTGGTGCGAATATTTTCTGCTCTCATCTCTGTACAAATGAGTACGCAGGTCACGACTATTATATAGGTAGAAAGATTGCAGTTATGAATCAGACAAGCAGAGAGAGGCCAGCGAGGCGACGAGGTTCACTCACCCCCTCACTCACCCATCCCCTCACCTCCCATGCAGTGGTGATATATGTTGCGGTTAACTCAGGAAAAACATTAATTCTCAAATCCATTGCTCTCATTCTTAATAATAGTTTAACTTGCATGAATTATTCGTGAATGAATTAGTTCGTGTATGAATTAATTCGTACATGAAATATTTTAAGGTTATGATTCGAGGAAAAGCTGTAAATGATAAAGGACTTCCTATATTCCCTAGCTTAAACCCTTAGTCCCAAGTGCCTCAGACGTGGGGAGTCCGTGGGCAGCTGTGGTTGGGGGACCTACGGAGTACGTACGCAAAATTGTACGATGTGTTCACACGCACACGCAAACTCGCGCGCACGTGCAAATGATTACTTAACATAATTGATTACCATGCGGAATTAGTTTCCATTAACTATTCATCTGGGCCAACATCATCTTGCTACCATTCGATGCTTGGCAGAAGCAACGCATGCAAATAAGTGCATATAATTAACATGCGTGATCCATGCGTTGTTAACGTCTGTCTGAATACCTCCTTTTAAAAGCGAACTGTTTTTGTATTATTTCAGGGGTAAAGGTCATAATATTCGGTTTCGAAGGAAAGTGAAACATGCGAGGCTAATCATCAGATTCGAAAAAAAACTGTGGGATGCTGCAGGCACTGCTGAACTTGACAATTATTTACGTAAGGTTCGCATATAAAGTCAATACGCAAGAATTCTCGTTTTCGTGACACATAAGTGACTCTAAGCTTACTTGCAGCAAACGGAAAATATGGCTCTCTTAATTTAGATACATTTTAGTTTAAAAACGGAGTAAAAATTTAATTTATTAGCAGTATTTATGTTCAGTCGCTCACCTGCAGGTAAAACTCATGAATATTTTCACTTCTCTGGAAGAGGAAAATTTTGTCAGGGCCGCAGGCGCAGGCGAAGCTGCCGTTGAACATGACGATGCTCGTGACGCGTCTGTGGCAGGGGGCGCTGCCCCCCACCTCGTCCGCGGGGGGCGGCTGCTCCTGTGATGCCGTGCGTTTCTTGTTGGGGGGCTGAGCATTCCCCTTCTGTTTCTTCCTGTATAGTTAAAGAAAATAAGGAAAAATTAATACGATAAATTGAGAATATAAACAATGGGTCAGCCGAGAGTTAAATTAATCACTTGTATGTATCATCGTAATGAAAAGAGAAAACTTTCATTTGAAAAGTAATGATCGTGAGGGCAATAATACAAAAAATATATTTTTTTTCTCCAGGCGATTGGTTATATATGGCGTGCAATAATGGAAGATCGGCAGCTAATATAGATGAAACTCCACCTGAAACGGAAAAACTATATATACCTGTGTTACCAGTCCCTAAGTAACGATTAACAAATAATAACCAGCTAATGAAAGTAGACAGGCAATTATAACTCATACATGTTTATATGTTAAACGACTATACATTTATTTGAACTTTTTGAAACTATATTTTAAATTGTTGTGCCTTAAATTACACTTGATATTTTTTATAGGACTTCACAAACCTTTTCATGTCGAAGAAATGCCTATTCTTTGTGGTTACTTTATCGTTTGAAGCATCGTATCATGTATACGACGTAATATAACCGCTACACACAGTCATGCTGCGTTTTAAAATATTTTTGTGTATGAGCATATCTACTGAAGGATTAGTTATGCCATGAGTGACAGCTGGTGCTAAGTGACGGGACTGTCAATCCCGTCAGTATGAGCTTAACAGTATAAGAAGCCAACGTAAAGTGAACTCGGAGTATCACCTCAAGTATAGTCGGTGCTTTCAATAATGTGGGATTGGTAGAGAAAAAAACACTGGCACATAAACCAGCAATGCGTCGGAATTTTTGATCAGAGTTGTCTGAATTATTATTCAGTATAGGCGTTGATATTCTGTGGAAGTACAAGCATCAGCGATAAAACACTACGAATAAAAGGACTCAAAGCCGCATAAAATGTAAATCGATCACATGGTAGCCAGAAGTACCCTGACGCATGCGTGTCATCAATGACGATGCATGGAGGCAAGACTAACCCTGACGCAGCCTGCGTGTCGTCAATGACGATGCATGGAGGCAAGACTAACCCTGACGCAGCCTGCGTGTCGTCAATGACGATGCATGGAGGCAAGACTAACCCTGACGCAGCCTGCGTGTCGTCAATGACGATGCATGGAGGCAAGACTATCCCTGACGCAGCCTGCGTGTCGTCAATGACGATGCATGGAGGCAAGACTAACCCTGACGCAGCATGCGTGTCATCAATGACGATGGTAGTTTTGAGCTCGCCCTCCTCCATGAGCAGAATGGTCCCTTCCTCTGTGCCCACAAGCAAAGTGTAGTGGTCCGCCCATACCTGAAACATATTTATATATCAGCAGAAATATTACGGCCGAAATTATTCATTATAATTAAGAAAATAGAAATATTAAGGCCGAAATTATTTATTGACTTATTTAAGTCAATGCTGATAAAAACTTCGGTTTTAAGAGATTGTTACGATGTCAGCCGACTTACGGCGGTGCAGCACATGTGTTGTAGTCCTGCTTGGTAGCCGTACGCCTTCAGGAGCTTGTCGTGTAGGCGCAGGAAGCGCAGGGCTTTTCTGCCCACCACGGCCAGCACGCCCACGTCCTCGGGGTGGAACGCTACGCTTGACACACTTAGCAGGCCAGGTGTGTCACCCAGGCGCAGGATAGAGAGCACCTTGTGCCACACATCATAGGTACAGTCAACGGGTCTGTTTTAGATTTTTGGAAAAGCAAAATATATATTTTGAGACAATGATGCATCAAATATAAATGAAAACTCCAATCAAGTGATGCGAATCACTCTCACCTTACTCTTCTCTATGACTCAGCGTGACGACGCACTCTCACCTTACTCTTCTCTATGACGAAGAGCACCAGCGTGTAGTCAGGCTGCCCCCCCTGCACGGCCACGACTTTCTCGTCGGCGCTGAAGGCGGCAGACACGAACTCGTGGCTCGCCACGTCGCCGCACACCAGGGCGCGGACCTTCCTGATGGGGTCGCACTTGAGGTCGTAGACGGCGACGGCGGGCAGCTCCCCTTCAGTCCTGATGTAGTCGCCGCTGGGGTCCTGAGCTGCACCAGCGAGGCACAGGGCCAGGTACTGCCTGGGGGTGTTGACATGAGGGTTGATGTTGACATGAGGTTAAGATGTTGACATGAGGGTAAGGTGTTTATATAAGAAGTTGACATATTTGCCAGATGTTTGGATAGTTGATATAAGGACAAGGGGTCGATAGTTGGACAATATTCTGTTAGCGCGAAGCAGTGAGCCGCATCCATAAATTTATATTGAAATTCACCTCGAGAAAATAGGCCATGAAACTAGATTTAGCGACTATTTAAGGAACGCTGTGCCATTGTTTTATAACTTGTCACGATACTTATCATTACTTGTCACGATACTTATCATTTATTGTCACGATACTTATCATTACTTGTCACGATACTTATCATTACTTTTCACGATACTTTTCATTTTTCATTCGGGCATCAAATGAATTGCGACATGTTTTATTTGTGTTTATACGCGTTTACTTTGGAAAGGCTCCCAAGGGCCTTAAAGGAACTGGTTCCTGAATCAAGCAAGAAGAAATGGATTGATAACAATTTAGAAGCAAAGAGCAACCGTAATACGTTCACAACATCTTAGAAGACACCATTTCAGACTCCTTTTAATGCATTCTCAAGTCCTGTTACGCCAATAAAAGATTAGTCAGTGGAGATTTAAATTATTTAATATTGACAAATAGTCATTATGTATTAAACAAACTATAATTGTGTAAACATAGAACCTACAGATTATTGATAACTCGCAGAAAGAAACTAAATCGAAAGGTGTATATGATCAGAATTTCCATAGGGCTCGTCACAGCTTGCAATAATAGCCCACAAGTTAATGAATTCAAATCAAATTACTAGCCGCAAGACCAGAGCCCATACTTTCAAAAAAAGTTACGAGATCGTAAGTTCGTCAGCCAATCATTGACGGCCTTTCAAGCCAAATCCACCAATCATAGACAAGAAAATAGAGCGTAAGTACTTACGTTCACTTAGCAAGTTTTAAAAGTATGGCCCCAGGTTTGATAGTACATTACCAAGTGCTGAAGAACTTGTACTCATAATAATTTTCTGTCAATTTCTTTACATGTCAGGTAGCTTTTAGCCTCAAGATGTCATCTGCTTAAATCTTATCCATTAATTGCCCGTAAAGTGATTACAATGAGAAATTTTGAAAAATGTACTACTTTTCAGTAAACAATATCATGAGTTTAAAATTTGAAGTATTTAATTTTGTTTACAAAACTAAGATAATTTCAAACTCCAGATAAGAATACTATCACAAACAAGGGACATAATATTGCACTGGAAGATCAACTTTGCGGCGGATGCTCAGAACTTCTCACCTCCGGGACGACATGGCCATAGCCGTGGGGACATCACGGCTGTGCAGCGCCGTCAGAGTTTGCTCGTGTGTCTCGGTGTTGTGGGCCACCAGGAAAGCCCCCGCTGGGTACATCACAGTTTTGCTATCCAGATGAACGACGGCATCACGCACATCCTTCCTTAGACCGAACACGTGCTTAGGATACACGTCCTCCACCTCTCCCGATCCTCGCGACGCTCCCTCTGATGACGTTTGTCTTTCACTCGGCAACGCAGCCATCTTACAGTTTGGGAAAATACCCAGATTGCGACAGGCTAGTACCGAAAATCTGAGAGATGTTGCAAAATTTTACCTATTACCTTCCAAATTTTACTTTTTGAGGGATTGATATGTCGTCTTTTGACAATAACTACTAAATAGATCATCACTGAGTGAACCACGTCGCTTGGATCATTTCAGAGCAGACTACTTAATGAACATAACACAAATTAATTTTATTTAGCAAGACTTCAATATCAATAATACACGAGTTTTGACACAATATTCTAGCCAAAAGGTCAACCTATGCGGCCGAACCTTCTGACCCAACTAAACGTTCCCATGGCAATAGCGTCACCGTTGCATCCATGGCAACGGTGCTCCGCCTGTATCAACACGAAGCAGATAAGAAAATAAAGTTCTATCAACTCCTTCATTTATAATTTATAATGGATCAAATTTCATAGGAAGGCTTAACCTAATGAACTGTTTAAATTCATGGTTGTCAACTCGAATTAGACTCAGGGACCGCAATTAGCCTGCAGCCAAATCAAAAGGGTACTAATCAATAATTAAATCGATACTATGTGTTTGTGAATATTACCATTTAATTATCAATGTTTGATGACTGCAAAATTTACTTGGTTATGTCTAGCCCAATGCATGACATAAATATCATATTATATCATAGTGATTTCGGCGCTGAAGAATGGGCCTGATGTGGCCCGTCGCAGATTCATGTACTTTTCGCGACTTGTTCACATGCAGGAGATCTAAAAACAGGTGGTTTGACCGGATCTTTTCATAACTGACGATAGTTTATAATAGCTACTAGGCTTCTACCGGTTTCGATATGGTGCTAGGAATTTCAAGTGTGAGCATATATTTCTCTATAGCTTCATCTAGTCTGTTCTTGAACGCGTTCATACTCTGAGCGTCATCGATGTGATCATGCATGGGGGCTGTTCCACATGCCGGTGACTCGAAGCGAGAAGAAATTTTGTCGCGTGGAGAAGTTGCTGCGCAGTTTTTTAGATTATATCCGTGGCCCTTGGTGTTGCCTCTTTTTTCAAATTCTAGCAATCCCTCCATAGGACCTTGTATAAACCATGAGTATACTTGTATACTTAAAAAGGTCACCACGTACACCAAACACAAAGGCTTGGAAGTTTCATAATCTTTAATATTTCTTCATAGGACTTGCACTTCAAGCCTGGAATTATCCTTGTTGCACGTCTCTGAACACTGCTAAATTCTCGTCTTTATCATGTTTCGGTGACCATACGGCGTTTCCAAACTCTAGGTTCGGACGCACGACAGCGACAAACAACAACTTCATTGCTTCTGCATCTAGGAACTCGCAAGAGCGATCAGGAGTTCAATAATTCTTCAAATTCGAATTTCTAAATACCAACCGCAAGAATTCTGATTCATGAGTGCATGGTATACCGATTAATGAAGAATAATTAAATAGTTAAACCTGCGTTCATCGAGAAATTGGTAGGAAATGCTCGCACTTTACAAACGTGGGGGTGCAAATGTTATCCTTCCAGATAACAGTTGAAATACCAAGTTTAAAAAAAATTATCTTAAAGTACGTGAAATGAAGAAAAATTGCTGGAATAGCATTCCAAATTTCAGACTTCTATCTTATTTAGGAGGTGAGTTATTGTTTAAAAAAGGTAGTGTAGAAACTCCATAGGAATCGACTTTGGCTGATGGCGATACCTCAGCTTCTTAGTATAGTCCGAAACATTTGCCGCATTCACTGCATAGCGGAGTATAATGCAGTCGCCATTCGCTAAGTTCAAACGTTCAGGCTTCCAAGCCGTCTTTTCAGTATGGCACTTAATACTGAAAAACAATGATTGGTGGTGGCTTTTGACCAACGGAGCCTCGCGGCGAAATTCGTCTAACATTAATTCTTCACTAGTAATCCCTAGGTCTGGAATATTTAGGGTCTGTACACACATAAAATGGGTTGGCTTAGGGATGTTCTGGATTAAAAATGAGTCTCGCGCAGACTCTTAGTGGAACGCTAGGTGATTCCCATCTCTTGGAGAGGGTTGATATGACCAGTTTATTTCTGGAAGGTTAAAGTAACAAACGATAAACGTATGCGACCTACTGAAAGTCATGCTCGGTGAAAGGCTGTTTAGTACTTTATCGTTATCAGAGGAAGTGTTTGGTGATCTATACATGAACCCAACAAGTAGGATATCCTTGCCTTTTAGAGAAAATTTGCATCACACTGATTCTTTAGTCGATTGATGATTTGCAAATAACTCAACTTGCTGGGCTCCATAAAAAGAAAGTGAAATGAAGGAGTGAAATCTGTAATACAAATATAATACAAATTTCTGTAATACAAATAATGTCTGAACACTCGTTTGCGATCATAGATTACAGTTCATTTTTTTTATTCACAACGGAATCCGAGTTCGCGTAAAATATTTTAAAACTTTTTGTGAACTTTCACTTTGATGTATGCGGTTACTACTTACTTCTTACATTATTTACAGGCCTTGATCTATGGACATGGCTCCTACTGTTTACTTGTCTTCCGTCCGCTGATTGAACGTGTGTGGCAAGTGTTGTTTTGAAATCTTGTGAGTGGTTGACCTGATTTTCTTTCTTTTCCTCCCCCATTTTCTCTTGCCATTTCTTACAAAAAAAAAATTTTTTAAATTTGAAAATAAGATAGTCTCTACCCATTGGAAGGTTTAGTGTTACAATTTAAAATTTCGAATAAGTTTCATATAGATAAGGGAAGGCTGCTTTGCAAGAAGGAAAGGCTCATTGGCTGTGGTTCTATCAAGAGCTGTGCAATCGCGGCCGAGAAACATTTCTCTAGAAGGTAATGTATGTACTACCTTGTGCGTACGACGCAAATACTAGCATAACATCACTAATATACTTAAATTCAAAGAATTTTGGGGGTATTCTGTATTCTCACCAAAAATATTCTTCGTCTTGTACATATGCAGGACTTTATTGTCAATCGTCCTTCCCCTTAACCATATTATTATCATGATTATCAGCCTAGGAAGCAGTTGAAGTGGCGCCTGGTTCAGACAAACTTCGAAGGCACGTAACATTCAAGTTTAATAGCAAGCGAAAAATAAGATGATACAAGAAAGGATGGAAACAGATAAAAATGACTAAACACTCGATTCATAAGCTCTACGAAATAGTTCCGTCTTTAGGTGTCGACGAAATGTCTATAACGAAGGGTCCAAGGTTACGTAAGCCGGCAGACTGTTCTAGGTTCTTGCGGCTGCGATCAGTAACGCTCAGTCGCCGACGGTAGATAGGCGTGTAGATGGAACGACGAGGTCCGCTGTTAATGACGAACGCAGTAGTCATCTAGAAGGCAGAACCAACTCGCGCTGCAGACATTCCGTGAGATAAGAAGACGTCCGACCGTAAAGGCATCAGAACGTCAGAACATCGACCTAGAACTGCGTGCGCTGCTGCATGCGCAGCCAGTGAAGATCGTGCAATATCGCCGTCACGTGGTCGAATTTTCGCTTATTGCACACAAGTCGCGCAGCAGCGTTCATTACGGATTGCAGTTTATCAAGTGCTGTGTTCGGAAGAATGACCAGCAGGTTGAGAACCGAAGACGCAGGCATGAAGGAGTCGTTGCCCACGCGAACAGGGTTGGCCGGAAGCTGACGCTGGTCCCGAGCAGTTGCAAACCAAATTAAGTCAGTTTTTGATGCATTGAGCTGAGGCCGGTTGAAGTGCATTGAGTTGGAGCCGGTTCTGAGACGGCGACCATGCAGACAGACATCCGGTCCTGCAACGCTACAGCGTCGGCTGGCGCACAGTAACCATATATTTCAGCGTCGTCGGCGAACATATGCGGATTCAAATTATGTGAATCGAGTATGTTCCACACGTTTCCACACGTCGACAGTACATAACAGGAAGAGGATCGGGCTGACCGCCGATTTATCCCTGTGTTACGCCGCATGTGACCAACGACGGCGTAGAAGAGTTCCCGTGTCAAACGCATTGGAATCTATTGCTGAGATAGGACTCGAACCACCGCAGCACTACCGCGCAGGCTGAATGACACGTCAAATCGGCGCAGTAGAGGGGCGTGGTCGATCGTGTCAAACGCGGCCGACAGGTCGAGAAAAATCAGTGCCGTAATGTCGCCGCGGTCTACTGCTCGCATAATATCTGAAAGCACCTTCTTCGCAGTGGTTTCTGTCGAGTGAAGATGACGGTATGCCGACTGGAGGCTAGACATGAGACTGGACTGCTGAGGATGGTTATTTAGCAGTCGGGCCATAACGCGTTCCAGGAGTTTCGATAAAATCGACATGGATCGATATGATCTGGGATCGGAAGAGTTAAGGTCTGTTTTTTATCAATAGAGGCGTAATGTAAGCTGATTTAAAGTTCTCTGAATCAACGATGTCAGTGAGGAAGCGGTTAAAAAATTCGGTCAGAAGAATTATAGTTGCGACTTTCCTCTGAGCAGCGACATCGGCAGCGGATAGCTGACCCACTGCTTGTTAGGCAGCGCGCGCACTGCAGCGGTGAGATCGTCTGCTGTGACGCTAGTCCATTCCTGGAGCACGCAGTCGAACTGGCACGCGCAAGTGTTGCCGACAGAGCATCGGCTGACGACGCTCGTACAGTAGAAATTTGGTTTTAAAAAACCGCATGTAATTCCTCCACGCCTATATCACCCGAGCATCTATATGATATTTTCACATAAGTTTACCCAACGAACCCCACAGCGCTCGAGGGTCGCTGCGTTGCACATCGACTTTTTGGCGCCGAAATGACTCTTTTAGATAGAATAGAATAGAATAGAATAGGAGTGTCGGCACTGAAGAAATAGGCTCATGGCCTGTTGCCGATTCTTGAATTTTTCGTGACTTAATTCACAAGGGATCCGGCCTTTGGAACCTGATCTTTCCATAACTGACGCTTGATTGAGATAGCTGCTAGACTTATTGCCTGGTCCGTAATTTGCTAGGCATTTTCTGGTGAAGAAGGTCGACAAAGTTGCAACACGCATCTCGTCAGGTGGGAGCCACAGCAGCAGGATTGCCGTTTTTGTTCTCCCCCGATCGACAGCCCGCTGTAACAGTCGAATCCGACATTCCTCGGCGAACAATGGGTCGGAGACCCTTAAGGTACTCGAACTGTGCGTGCAGGAATGAGGTCATCAAGGGCACAGGTCAGCTCGGTATTGTAGAGTTACACTAAGTCGTTGATTGAAAGTGCCAACTATGAGTCCAGCCGACATTGTCAGAACTGCAGTTTTTCGCGTAAGACATCGTCGTCAAAACCGCGCCACGGACGACAGTTACCGGTTTTGCGCGATGGCACCGGGTGCACACATGGCACCGTCCACTAAAGTATTTGATGGCCAGATATTGCGATCTCGATGATGTCGACTGGCTGAATTTGAAGGTCAGCACACGCGATTACAACGTCCAGAAGACAGCCCGTGTCGTGCGTCGGCAAGGTCACGTGACAACCATGCCAAAGGTTGACAACAGGTCGTTCAGCTGACGCGTCGATGGGTCGTCGACGCGATCCAGTCGAACGTTCAAATCGCCGGTGATAAGGACATGATGGGGGAAAGGCACAAGTCTGGTGAAGACATCGCTCAATTAACGAAAAAATCGCGCACCTCAGCAATCTATCCAGGGCGATAGATGGTGGGTGACTGAAACGCATGTAAACGAGGCACAGGTGACTCTAGCACATGGCAGCTCAAAGGTGGTGGGTCGGGCGCCGATGTCAAGAACGGCAAGGAGCACGCCCTCACTGGCGACGGTAGCTACGCTACCGTAATTCGTCGCCAGGATGTCGGGTTGCATGCGGGGCCACGCGCGCTGGACTACCTGGAGTCCTTCAGCGCGAAGACGCGCGATGCTAACCGAGTCAACGCCGTGTCAGGAAGACGACATCTAGTGAGTGTGAGCGACAAATGTGAAGTAACTCATCAACCTTGTCATTCAGCGAACGTATGTTGAAGCGGCCGAACGATAATTAACCGGCGACACGGCTGCGCACAGTGGCGACCAACACGAACGCTAAGCAGATTTTGAGGACTACGGGTCGACACTGGCCGATGATCAGCAGCAGCATTCGCAGACGTTGATTTAGTCGCAAATGATTTCCTCCGTAGCAACGGCCTATTGCCAGTGACTACGAACACGGGCATCGTTGTTGCGCACTGTTCGATAGGTAGCAGCAGGACGCCTATTTCAGCCAGCACGGCATCCACGCTTAGACATGCACAATGACGTGGGGGACGGCACAATGAGTAAATCTACTCCACAGACTGATGGATCGAGGACTGCAGCAGCTGACTGCAAGCCGAGCAGTTGTTTCGCCGCGTAAGCTAACGGCGCCATAAATAACAGCCAGATACAGCTTGGGTCATTAAACAGTGACGCACGTCTACAATAAGCTCGAAGCCGAATTACAATGAACGCCATAACGAATGCTCACAATATAGTCCTCCCACTTAAAAACACACTTACGTCGACATAGGTTGCGTCAAGCAAGCTACGTGAGTAGCAAGAAAAAGCAGGGACGAAGACAACGCCTGCTCCAGCCACGTTCAGATTCAAACCAAAATTGCCGATCAAGCAAAAATGTCTGATGAAGCCAAGTCGGCTGAACAGCCATCTTGGATTACCATAATTTGTGATCGATTCAGAGACGACCAAGGCTTTAAAAAATGAGGCTTACTGATATGCCGGCAATCTTAGTTGCACCGTCCAGTGGAACTCTGAGCACATCTACAAACCCATTTGCACATCTGCAAACTCTGACAGCCAACGAGCCACTTATTGAGTCCATCGGCGTCCACAACTCATTGTACTGTGTCATTTTTCTACAAACACTTATGGCACGGATTGGGGTTATGATCTCAATTAACTTTGACCATCAAGTTTAAACTCGTTTATTGACAAAAGGCTTGTACATAACTGCGTTGAGCAAGAACTTGCTCAATTTCTGCTGTCATGAAGCAGAACATTGGCTACTGTAAAATGTGATTTTTATTAATTAATTGTCTTAATACTTCGTAACATCACGGCATTAAAGTTTTTTATGGTGGAGATAAAAGTATGTATTTGTCTCCAATGGAATATTTGATGTTTGCAGCTGTACTTCAAATTCGGTAGAGACGGCTACTTCTATTTGTTTTCCATGTTATATATAGCTCATATTTACACCTCAAAAGCTCATATTTTCATCCAGTTATAGGAAGAAGTTGACAGTCTTTTCTTCTGATGCCAGTAAGTCATGATAGTCCAGCCAACAGACATATCTGCCCTGTTAAGCGTCGTAATTACAAGCGCGTGTTAGCGTGAGGCGGCGCAGCAGGCGGCAGCAAGCGACGTCGTCTGGCCCAGGCGAGGTGCTGCTCAGGGTATGCGAGGCACTGGACGCGCGCCACCCTCACGCCGGGACCGTCGCTCACCACCAGCAGCAGCAGCGCAGACCACGCGCAGAACGGCACCGTCAACACCGGCAGTCTCAGCTGACATGTTACATCAACGATATTGTACGTTAGGGGAATTATATTTTGCAGCAATACGAACTTAAATAATACAGAATTAATAGCCTTTACTTATAGTACATTATTAGGTAAATTACGGTTTTCTCAAAGTTAGTTAAGGAACCCAATTTTCAATGTGTTTATTTCGAAAATATATTACATTATATTTTAAGTTGCTTATTCCTATTCTTTCAGAAATACTATGAAGTATTCACAATAGAGATTTTGCTGAAATTATAAATAATTGATAAGTATATATAAGTATCTATTATTGCGAGCAATGTCACACTTTAGGGTACGCAAATAACTGAAAATATTATAATTAACTTTTATGTTTCCTTTGACATTAAATGACAAGTTATAGTATTTAAGAATTACGATCAGAATGTTCTAGAATTTTGCGCTCCATCTACCAAACACATGCACTTGCTAAACTATATACTTGCCCAAAATCACCCCCACCAAGCCTGTCATGCATTACGTCACTGGTCATGCGCGTCACAAAACACTTCCAACCAAATGGACTGTCCATGCTACACCCTTACCAATGAATTTTACCCGTCTAATAAGTTATTATACAATAATATTGTTGCATTATGTAGAGGCATGAACGACGCGATTTTCTCCTAAATACATCACATCGATTTATACCAATAAAAATTGTCCCGTTTACAGGAGAATATTGAGTCCCAACTGACGGCGGAGAAGACAGGCTGTAGAGCGGCCTGCAGGAGAGTGCAGGACGTGGCACTGAAGGCCCCCAGCACGAGGGAGCGCCACGAAGGCTCCAGGAAGAACGCGGCGCAGCCAGCGCCCAGCACTGCGTTGTAGCCCCACACTCCTGCAGCAGCGGCAGCTCTCGTGAGGGCTTGTAACATTGACGTAGCTAAACCTGAATGACGCTAACGTCGCCTTAGCACTAAAGTCACCGGTCTTCAATCTGTATTATAAACATCCAAGTGTAATATAAACCAATTGAACCATGTCTTTTAAGCGCGATGAAAATAGCTTCGTAAATATCATGTGGTTATTCGGCCTTTCAAATCGTATTTCTGACCAATATTATACGGTTTATTGCGACGGGCGGCTAGGTAAGTGCAGTGGCGACTAATGTATCATTGACGGTAGCTGTTACTGTATAATGAAGAAATGATACTCAATTAAAAATAACGTTGCTCCTATATGTATAGGAATGGTGCTCGTAGTAGGACGACGCCGCAAGTCACATCTGCTCATTAAGTATGGCCGCATAGTTTATGTCACTGATTAGTATGAAAAACTGCAATTAATACTTCGCCGCTCGGCCTAAGATACTGCTAGTCTTCCGTCCCATGCACTTATGCACAACCTGAGCAGATGAATAAGATTCAATGGACAAATGTGCAGAAAGGATTCATTAGTGCAAGAGGTATAAATGCCGTGAAAAAAATCAACATGCCTTGCTTGATGTAGTTTATTGTAATCAAGCACGCAACCCGACATCCAGCCAAACGATAGATAGAAGCTAGCAACGTAGAACTAATGCCCACGTGCATAACGATCCATGAAATAGACATTTAGAAAAAGTTAATTACACACTGCTCTTCAATGAGTCAGAACATTCCAGTCATTCAATTACGCAAGAAGTCGTCTAGCTTTGGTTAGGCTCCCTCGCCTTACACAGTCGTCGAAAGAAGTGCATTTATAGAATTTCGTGCGAATTCTCCACATTTAGAAGCGAGGAATTATTGCACCTCTGTCGAACGATGTGATTTTCGCTGCTCACCTGCCGCTATTGCGCTGTGTTGCGATGCGTCGGTGACGAGTAGAGCTAAAATATGCAGAGTGTTAAATAATGTTTATACTGTGATAACATTTCAATTATGGATGTCAGTTGTTTGTTTGAATTGCAAATCTATTAGGAAAGTAAAGAAAATTCCACAGAAGTTCATCATATTCATCAACTTTTCAATTATTTCAATAATACACAATGAATATTCCGTTTACGAAAGGTTGGTCTAAATGTTGGAAATATGAAAATAATGAAATATTAGTGTACAAACCTTGTGTGCAAATATTTCTGTTGAGTATATGTCCACAGTAGGGACTAACGCAAAGCTAGTTAGATTTTATTTATTCAACTGGAAGTGCTTAAATCCACTTGATAATATATGATACGATAAAATATTAATAAATAGCATGATTTAACGGGATAATGAGTTTTTCTTTCACGAAAAATGCAATGGGTAAGGGAAATGAAGAAACAGAATTCAACGCTGAAATCACTGAAATATATCGTGCCCTTTTCAAACGCCATGCATGATGGATGTCATCAAAAAAATTGCAGCCATATTTTTTAAAATTATTTTTCTCATTTCAATGAGTTTGTGATCATGCAAGCAAATCAATTTAAACTTGAGTAATGGAACCATCAGTTATTTACTGAAAAAGCTCACTATTGAATCCAATTAATAGAGAGCATTGAGGTTGAATGCTTTGGCGTCAGTGCGCTTTCTAGTTGTTAGTTTTGACTTTATATCATGAATGGCATGCCATAAATCATTTATTTAAAATACGATGATAAAATGTCTACAATATTCAGTTATAATTACCACTTATTTAATTGTGCAAGAAGTAATTTTGCATACAATTCATTTATGATCCCAAATTAGAATTTAAAGTCCAGACCCCCCTTTAGAGGACGAGCGGCGAACACAATATTGGTGTTGACAATGCCGACCTGAGAGGGTCCCGACGAGGCCTCCTCCGTAGCAGGCAAGGCAGAGGATGGAGGAGTTGATGGCGAGGGCGATAAGGATGAGTACCGAGCACATGACGTGCTCAACGGCGTACACCTGCCCCACCGCTACCAGGCTGCCCGCCACCACCTGTCATACAAGTAAGTAACTGGACCAGCCACCGCTACCAGGATGCCCGCCACCACCTGTCATGCAAGTAAGAAACTAGACCAGCCACCGCTACCAGGCTGCCCGCCACCACCTGTCATACAAGTAAGAGACTAGACCAGCCACCGCTACCAGGCTGCCCGCCACCACCTGTCATGCAAGTAAGTAACTAGACCTGCCCCACCGCTACCAGGCTGCCCGCCACCACCTGTCATACAAGTAAGAAACTAGACCAGCCACCGCTACCAGGCTGCCCGCCACCACCTGTCATGCAAGTAAGTAACTAGACCTGCCCCACCGCCACCAGGCTGCCCGCCGCTACCAGTCATACAAGTAAGTAACTAAACCTGCACCACCATCTACCAGGCTGCCCGCCACCACCTGTCATACAAGTAAGCTACTAGACCTGCCCCACTGCTACCAGGGCCGCCCGCCACCACCTGTCATACAAGTAAGTAACTAAACCTGCACCACCATCTACCAGGCTGCCCGCCACCACCTGTCATACAAGTAAGTAACTAGACCAGCCCCGCCGCCAAAAGGTTGCGTGACACCACTTGTACAGGGGCGGGAAAACATGACAACAAGGCGGGAATCAGCAACATTTTGTCATGGGACCGACAAAAAGTCTTAAATACTATAAAATGGCATAAAATAATATAAGTGTTATTCAGCAGCGTTTTCACAATATGTTTACACAAACAAATGGCAAAAAGTGTTACATAGCGTCTGCTGCTATATAGGGACGAAAGTGGTGACACCTACTCGTCAAAAGTGGATAGTATGTGACAAAGCAAGGCGAGCGTCCTGTCGCGGCAAGTGGAGAAAAGGTTTACTCATGGTGAGTTCCCCCTCATGGTGAGTGCCTGCTCATGGTGAGTGCCTGCTCATGGTGAGTGCCTGCTCATGTTGAGTGCCTGCTCATGGTGAGTGCCTGCTCATGTTGAGTGCCTGCTCATGGTGAATGCCTGTTCATGGTGAGTGTATACAGTGACTGCTCCCTAGAAGGAGTGAGATATGCGCTCACTTGACGCCACGTGATGCCTGGTGCAGGTGCTGCAGGTTCGACGCCAGAGGCGTTCAGGGAGAGCGATGAGTCCAGCAGGAATTGTTTTGAATTGTCCGTATCTATAGAACAGAGATATTTCATGTAGAAAATTTAAGCGGAGATTAAGTTCTGATGCATAGTTTTAGGTTACGAACTATTATCTTAATTCTCAATTACTCATTCAGCAATAAAGCCTGATGTGCAAAAGGCTCCTTCTTCAAAACGACCAATAAATGGTTCGATAGAAAACTATAGAAAGTGTTTGGCTTTCGTGATACATTCAAAACTGAATTGAGGCAATCTATGTAAGTTTGTCCTACGTAGCTACAAATAGGAGCTTATTTATAGATGTTAATATTTTAGCGACAATATAACGCACCGTCAGCGCCTGCAGCTGTTAGTGCGAGGAAGAGCAAAGTTGTCACGATGTTGAAGGGCAGCGTGAAGAGCGGTAGGTTGACGAGCTTCAAGACCGCGTGGAGACCCACGCCCACCACCACGCTGTGTGTTCAACTATCATCGTAAGTGATAACTTTGCAAAAATTAAACTATTAGGGGATGAGTCGCTATAATTATGATACACCCTTTCAATTTCAAGTAAAACCAGAATAGTGATTACTTACGTATTATCGTGACAGACTTTACAAGGTCATTAATAAAAAAATGTCAAATCGAACACCGGACATTTTTTGATTTGGAATGTTTGAACGTTGATTTTGTTTCCTGTGACGGCATCGCCGATCTTTGCAAAGTTTGCAGTGTCCTAAGTAAGATTCATAACACTTACATTATTGTAAATTAACCGCAAACTGCACCACACAACTACACTATAATCCGAAACTGCAATATTATTTGAAGATGGCTAGGGCATCTCCAAGAGACGTCAGCTCAATCCAATGAGACATTGCGGGCGCGATCTAGAGTCTCAACTGTGCAATACATATAGACAACTGAAATCTCACTTCGTCATTGAACCCTTTCCAGGAAATAAATTCTATAACACAACACACAGGAAACAAATTCTATAAATTCTATAACAGTGATTTCAAAATTCTAGCTTCCGCATCCGGTGTTAGTGATCTACGAATTTTAGAATCCCTGTATATATTCAAACAGAAGCCTAGTCTGAATGCCGCTTTTAGCTCCTTTCCTCTTGAAATAGTAAATAGATAGGTTTACTCTGACCTGTAGGCAGCAGCAGCGTGAATTACTCTGACCTGTAGGCAGCTGCAGCGAGCATGAAGAGCCACGTGGTGACCCCCACAGGTCCTCCTACAAAGACAGGATGCAGGGCGACTGTGACGCTGCCCACCAGCACGGCGCTGTACGAGGCAAGTCCGGCACTCACCGCTTCGTCCGACTGCCCGAGACCCTGTCAACGAGCTTCAGGTTCAACTGAAGTCTTGAATAATCGGACTATCAAAGATCAATCGAAAAAGTTCAAGTTGTGGCAAAATATGAGATTAATTTCCAAATTTTAATCACAGTAAGGATTTTTGTCGATTATAATCTTATCGTGTGTAATGTGCGAGAAAAGTAAATAGAAAAGAAAAAAAACTTCATTAAAAATAGGAAATAAAGAGTAAAAAAAGTTCAGTGGCGGCAAAATATAAGGTTAATTTCGAAATTTTAATCACAGTAAGGATTTCTGCCCATTATAATCTTATCATATAAAATTTGTATATAATTGGTAGAAAAAAAAGCTTCAGTAAAAATTGTAAACTGAAGAGGAAGAATTAAATTTAGTGTTTTTTGCTAGATTCTCCTTTGCATGTTTTCTAACATCAACACCTTTACTGACCGCTCACTGCCTTAATTATTTCTGACATGTTTATTTCATTAGTCAGGAACTTGCTCAAACATCCACTTTCATTTCGAATAACATTCGACTTCTTATTACTCATCACGCTCATAACGCACTCGTTTCAGCTTCGCGATATTTTAACGACTATCTTTGATAGTAAGATAATTCCAATATAACTTGCACTAGTATAATCCGTGTATGACGTATGAAATTTTCTATTAGTTTGGATCAAAGCCGTGAACCATTAATTATCTTTTCATCCGAATTCCCATCATTTTCATGCGAGAGTTATATTCATCTTCGCTAAAGTGGTACTGGCATTTTTTTTTAAAGTTCCGATTCAACAGTTTACTAATAATAACAGCAGAATCTGACGATATCATGAGCATAATGTCCAACTTATTTGAAGAAAAAATATCCTGTGGGTAAATATCCTGTGATGCATGGGTGAGGCTACGGCTTGCTCGGCGCAAAGTCATGCTGGTAGAAGAAAGCATGACTTGGCGTCGAAGAATTTGTAGGTCCCCCACATAATAATGTCCCATACCTTTCCCCATACACCCATAATGCCCTATACACCCATAACTCTAGTGCCTCCTCTAACTTTCTCTTTCCGCCTCTTCTCTTCCCACCCTGTGCGGCATTTACAATGGCTCTGAACAAGATGCATCCAAAGCGTACCTTTCAAGACCACATCATGTTACTCAAATAGTACAATTAGTACAATATTATGTTGCATACATCGAGCAGCCGCTTCAACATGCGCAGACATCAGCTTCAAATTTTAATTAGATAGCATCGCGTAAATCATTGCGCTTACTTTGGTCCATGCTTTGAGTACAAAATATCCCCTTAATAAGAAATATTTAGGGTTAGAATCTTGTTTCTTAAGGCTCAGGTCCACTGTGCATGAAACGATTACCGCAGACATTAGCAATACCAAGTACAAATACTTAAAACTTTTACCATATATCACTAATACGCACTGAAACGGCCTACTGTAATTGATGAAAATACTTGCCTTGGCGGTTGCTATGGCTACCACGGAACAGGCGCAAGCTGCCAGTCCGACGTAGACATCCGCCAGGAAGAGTCCTACGAGGATGAGCGCTCCAGACCAAGGGTTGTTGGCAAAACACACCTGTCCAAAAATTTTTGCATGAGGAGTTTCAGTGGCGTGAAATATATGTAGTTGATGTCAACTGTTTAATTGATAATCAATTCAAGTGGAATTTGAGGTAAACCAAACGCAAGGTGTCTCGAATTTAATTTTCAATTCTCAGTCACCGCATTTTGGATGTTACATCTAACGATTCTAACACAAATACCTACATTACTTAAAATACTGGCATTCTTTTGTCTGAAAATTATCGGGAATTAACCTGATATTTGTTCAAAAATAAAGATATGATCTGTTTAACATTCATATATTTCTTAAAAATTATACTAGTCAATATCTGTGAATAAATGAACGTTTTTACTGTGCGTCTTTTTCATTTCAATTGATTAAGTGCCAAATTTGACGCTAGTTATTGCATGATATTTAGCTTTGATTGTTAATTTACAAGAGGTTGTTATACCTGCGCCATTCCTCGCAGCAGCGAGTCGACGAGCTTGACGAGCAGCCAGGGCGACCACCACGACCCACGAGACCACCGCAACAGCCCGCTGGCGTCACCCAGCACGCAGCTCCATGCCCCGCTCTGGGAACGCATTAGTATGGCAATCGCCGGTAGCTATGTACTAGAAAACCAACAGTTTGCTTTAACCGCGGCAGTAACGCGGATATGGTTGTTGTGATCATAAGATGGAGGGTGACGTGTGGGAATAGTAATCATTCCCAGTTCATCTTCCGTGAAAAAATAAACATTTTTAGAGTAAAAATAAAAAAATATCGTTCATGACTGCGAAAGTTCTACCACAGATTAAGTATCACTGTGTAATATCGATACGTTTCTTCGCTTTATAAGATCAAAGATGAACGAAAACATGTGTATTCCGAATTTCCATAATAATAGCGGTTTCAGCGTTAATTAGGCCGTAGGCCTGTCGCCGATTCTCAACATCGCAGAATATTCACAGCTTGTTGCGGTCTCGAACGCGCAACTCGCTGCTTCAATTATGCTTTGCATAACCGCCCGGCCTCTTTGCCAATTCTGACCAGAAACTGGCGCGGAGAGCTGGGATCGAACCCGCGCCTCTCTGCTCCAATCTTGGTACTCTGAACTTTAACCACTGGGCCATGATAATTAATTTAGTTTAACCGGTTCACATGAGTTTGAAGCTGTCTGCAGCGGACACCGATAGATAAGCCATTTTATTCAAACAAGCCTCAATGTAAAATTAAATGCTTACCAAGAGAAGAGGTGTTTTTGCTGAATCTTCATGCATCATGCACGATCTGGCATGTTACCTGCGGGCACGTCTTGTCGAATCTAAAGTTCTTTCAAGAATCACTCTTCTGATAAATAATGATTAACACCTGGCTTGTATGCAATGTGCATATTTTGATGCTTTGCCAGTGTTGAATTAAAGTTTCCAGTATTATTAGGATACTATTGAGTATGTTGTTATGGGATTTTGTTTAGTAGCAAAAAAAAAAAAAAAAATTCGTAGAGTTTGAAATCTGTCCTCGATAGGTTTTTTTCTAGTTAAAATTTATATATGTCGAATGGGGCTTTGGTAGTTAATAATGTTAAAATGAGTACAGGTGTGCTGCCATTTATACTGCTCCGGCGATGATTAAAAGACGAATGGCTCTCACTAACTGAGTTCTGCTTTCAACAAACGTCTAAAAACAAATGAAGCGTACAACACACTATGAATATTAAAAAATATTCGTCCTTTGTTCCTTCAACTCGGTCACGTCACACATTTTGTACCAACACTTCGGCTCTCTTGACCAGAACACTCTTTATATCCCACACGACTGCCTATGAAAGCTCTAAGGTGGTCCTCGTCCAAGCTTCCTAACAGTCGCGCCTTGTTCGTAACTTCTAGCATCAACCTTCTCACGGTCGAAGGAAACAAGACCCGTTTGCCCTTCGTACTCCCGGTAAATTATAGCTTCGTAAACAGTCTCTATAATCTCTAATTACCAAATTCTATGCACCTACATGCAGGTTTGGTCACGTATGAGTCTAGCATCAGACGTCTAAGATAATACAGCATAATGGATCTCTTATTCCTATTACTCAAGATTGTCCATCATGAAATTAAGATCAGGAATTGCTCAAGCGGACTTGTCAAACGTGTTCAATTTTGCAGGAAGTATTTGCATTTCATTTAAAACTTGTTCCCAGAAACCAGCCTTAAATGAAACGGAACATATTTCGAAGTCCTTAAATGAATCGTAAAGTAATATAGAATACTTATTATTGTCATCATGAGAGGTAGATATATGACTGAAGCGAGTAGATGCTTGAAAGCAGAAACACATCTCCTGTTATTCAAAAATAATAAAAGCAGCAAGTGTCAGTGACTATGAGTGTTTATTCGAGAGTAAACTATTGCCATTGGCATGCGCTGTACTCGAATTAACATAATAGAAAGAACAGCAACTCTGCAAGATGTTACGCTGATCAAACTTCGGTTGTCAGTCCCGAAGTGAGGGCGATATTGGCTGGGTGTCGCCGGACGAGAACGTCAAGATCTGACATGCTTTGTTTATGGAAAACGAGGGATTTTGTCGCGGGAATTCTTTCAATTCAACCCTTTTATTGAATTAGAGTATCGACGAGTGATTTGAATTATCGAAAAATTCATCGCTACGCTGACCATTCGATTAAAATGCAAGATAAACCAACCAGTTCATTAAGGCACCAGAGGAGTGATAGACTTAATTACCGTGTTGTGCGACACGTGCATAGATTATATTATTTCAAATACTACGTGGAATTGAGAATTAACATAACATACCAATAATAATTCAACCTAAATTACTACATAGAATTGAAGAACATTATTGTTTCAGCACGATAATCAACTATCTTCTGGGTGGATCACATCGTCGTACTAATATTCAACAGTAGCGTTGAAACCTGTCATTGGGGTGTTTTGTAGTGACTCCAGTCCACTTCTCATGCCATCAATTCTAGCAAACGACAAAATTTCTGTTGTTAACTCCCCAAACGTCTATTGGCAAATTATGAAATTACTTCCAAGTTATTCAAGTCAAATTAACCTGTTTAAGTTCCAGAGGTGGGCAGTAGCGCGCTACATGTAGCGGCCGCTACTAGCGGCCGCTACATTTTCAGTAGCGGTAGCGGTAGCGGCTCTACATTTAAGGCAATGTAGCGGTAGCGGTAGCGCCCGCTACATATTTAAGTAGCGATTTGTAGCGGTAGCGGTAGCGCCCGCTACATTTAGAGCATGTAGCGGTAGCGGTAGCGCCGCTACATTTCCAAGTAGCGCTGCCCAGCTCTGTTAAGTTCCTAATGTTTACAATTGTGTTATTATTTAAATGTTCGATCAAAAAATTCTCTAAAGTTAATTCTTGAGCACGAATAACTTAATACATAAATAATTATTATTTTCGAATAATGATAATAATTTCTCTCTTCCCATCGCGCTGATACGACAAACCGTGTAAACGATCACTTGGCGAGTCTTCATTTCAGTTACTGTCCTCTTATCTCTTTATCATTCATCGCCATGACCATCTGAGGGTTGACAACACCATGCAGTTTCAGATGGACATTCCACCAGTTAATACTCGCACTATAGTTTCTCCGTGGAATGAGACGAAATTCTTCTGATTAAATGGTTGGATATATCCCTCTATAGTCTACAGATATAAAAATTATTCTAAATCTGTAATTGATTGGAGCAACTTAATATCAACTAATAAATTATAACCTCATCGAGTTAATATATCAATACTATGAATCCAGCAATTCAGATTTTAAATAATTAGGCTTTTAAGCTCAATGCTATTCAACGAGAGTTGAATATAGAGCATCAGATTATTTCACATTAAAAAAAAGATGAGTAGGAAGAGCATCAATCACTATGCTGCTAAATTCCCTTTAAAGTAGTGTAATGTCCATGCAATTGAAACTTATTCGGATGAAAGCATATACGAGTGAAATCGCAAATCTAAGAAAGATTGAATACACAAATAGGACTGGTAGAATATTTTGTACAACTTCAAAACATACGTGCAATTAATGATAGTCTATCTTCTACTAGTACTGCTCAAACCAACTAGCTGCGGGAAATACTTGCTCGAGAAACCACTTGCTTTGTGAAGGTTACTAATTTATCCTGTTCACGAAGTTCATTCATTAAGGAGTACAGAAAATCATTAATAGTCTTCTTTTTATTGCAAAAATTACAAACCTGAAAAGAAAAACAATGTGAAAGCTTTCGACTGCAGGTGAAACTAGATGAATAACAAATAGTTGTATGATTGACAAGCCGTTCGCTAACTCAATAAACAAAATCAGTCACCGTATTCATGACAAAGGTGCCATGTGTGACACATGCGAGCAAGACGCAAGTGTCACTTGAGTGTCAACTAATTATACAGAAGTTTTACAGCTTCCAAAGCGACTTGATTTAATTACAATTGTAAAAGAATCTCTCAATTGATATGAATACGCTGACCTGGACGTCCCACAATATTTCAGCATCACTTGACATTAGACCGTTTGGATGCTATTTGTCTCCATAGGCTGCATTATCACAAGTGATTCGATGTCAACTTCGGTTGATAATCCATGAGCCCGAGCAAAACTCATTTAACCATGGCATGTTCTACGTGTCGCACACAAAGGAACAAGAGCGCTCAGCTTGACAATAGTTAAATAACGTTTCAAACTTTATAGGCAACTTGTCAGATTAATATATTGCTAATAACTGATATTTTAACCGAAATTCGTCGCGTTCAGTCGAAAGTACTTACGAACATCGAAGTCAATGTCATGAATACAAAGCGTGAGGATCCTGACAATCACACGTGAGGATTAAGTCTTTACACGTGCCTTAAAAGATTAGAATTGAAATCATTTTCTCGAGCTTACTATTGTTCAGAGAATTGGTCTGTTGCTTGTATTATTACAACACAAAACCATGAAACATAAGATTTATGCTATTTTGTTTCCATCCTGGATAATATAATTTTTTTCGCATTTACGATTAAGATTTTGATGACTAACTTGTAGATTCAAAAGAAGCCAATGAGGCATCACGTATCCTGTATCCACAAGTTTGTCCTTTTTTTTAACAATGGCGTGGTTGCAGTCGGACGACAATGGAGTTTGAACGTTGGATATTTTAACTAAGAGGTAAATTGTTTGATATAGTTAACATAATTGCATAATTGTAACACCGGCACTACAACATTACAATGAGAGCTAAGTAATATTTACCTGGGTGCTATATACAAAATATAGGGAAGTGTTCTTATGTACATGTAACATTATGCTTATTTTAGGTTTAAGCGAAACCACATCAAGAATATTTCGATGCAAATACTCTTACCAGATGAAAACACTCGCTTTAAAAATTAATAGGAATGCGTATTCACAGGTTTACCCGCATAAATAAATGTTTTTTCAGATAAGCAAATGGGATCATTGGATTCGAGCAGGGCATCAAGGAGCGGTCGCTCCTAAAAGGAAGTATAAAAGTCCTGCAAATAAAGACGGCTGGTTACTTTAGTTCTTTCGCCAGCCCAGGGTCGTTTTGCCAGCTCAATGTCAGTAAAATTGAACACAAGTAGAATCGGGAGAGAAGTGGCGTAAAAAGCAAAGATTATGTCCTCGACACATGAAGCTACGGTTTTCTTAGATAATAATCAATACTTCATAATTATCAAGCAACAAAATAGCTATTGGAATACAAAGTCCCAAACCTATCATCATCTCGTACACGAACACAATTCTGTTTCAAACAACAAACAAAAATATCCCAAAGTAAGTCATGTCTGTCTTAATTGGAACCGCCGAGCACAAGCGTTTTAGTGAATTTACCGCTCGTTAAATGAGCATGGAATCGTCTTAGTATCTATGCTTTGGTGAACTGCCAGAGATTTGAGCCAATGTTAGGCGCGAGGCTCGCATAACTACAATTATAGTGACAATCAAAGAAGTGCACAGGACAATCTTCGATGAAAAAATACTGCATCATGTGCTTCATTGTCAACAGCTTGTGCAAAAACAATACGGAAGCAAATGCATAGTGAACACAAGTGCAAAAACTGTCCCCACGTACACGACAGTTCAAGAAAAAGTTCTACCAAAATATCGGTAGATGCATAACACTGAGAACTGTCGCAGCGCTCAGTAGTGGAGCTCAGTACCATTACGTACGCAAAGCAGTGCGAAAGTTAACCATACAACAGGAGACGAGAGGACCAGAAATACGAACGACTTGATATGTCCAGCCCAGCATACTATTCAGTGCTGAGCGTGAGCATAAAAGTGCAATGATGTTTTGACTACACACATTTTTCGTCGTATCTAATTGATCTGACAAATGCAAGTATAGTTGATTTCAAGGTCCATCCGCGTCAACGGCACTCTCTTCATCCAGAAATAAACCCACGTTAAAAATTTATAAGAAAGAATTGATGAATTTATGGAAAAGCAGTTCCGTTATCTTCCTGAACTCTGACACGACTTGAGTAGAAAAAGGACGCAATTAATAAACAAATTCCAATGTTTATGAAAAGCGACTAATTCTGGTGGATAAGAAAGTAGACACGCGTGTGACACAGAGTTTCAGGGAGAGTTGATTGAAAAGTAAATTCATGCTGAATTCGGAAAATTGTTCTTATTGCATCTTATATTCAATTGCTAGGGTAAGCTTTAGAACTTCTACCACAAATTTCTTTAAAATCTCAACGAATTCACAAAAATCGGTTATGGGGCGAAGTCGTTCTTCAATGAGGTTTTCACTAAAGAATATGCATTTTCGCAGAAGAAAATATGACATATTTTTCCGCATCTACGTACAACTTGGAAGAATTTATAATTGAAAGTTATCGATTCAAAGCAATAACAAAATCAAATCGCGTTGATAGTGCGAAATTGGGCAAAAATATTGAGATTATCTAAAGGAACACTGGGTGACAATTTGATAGAAATGAACTTTGCTTAAATCTTCATTTATTATTATTTATGCGAATATTAATCATCAAGCAATACCTCATGGTTCTCTACTGAAAATAAAATCCATGAAAATATAATATCCCGACACGACATGTATCATTAATACGCGCTCGACTGGCTCTTGTATATTTACGGTGCCAAACTTCAAACACACACACACTGTGACAGAGTTATACAAGATGAGCTACAACCAAGTTACTGTAGCTCAAAAAACTTTCCACTCGCTTTGCAGGCATTATAAATTCATTACAATGACATGAAAGCAAGTTAAGATTATATTTTCTTACAATAAATAATCAGGCTTCGCTCCTTCACAACTGCCACGTGAAACAGTAAATCTCAACCTTCTTTGGCCATGGCTTCTGCACGCAGACGCATGAAGAGGCGTAATGCAATACACTAGTAATTATCCACGATTTTTGATCCTTCAATTAGTCACTTAAGGTCTAACTGTAACTACAATGACGTCATCAATATGATGACAGTCATGATCAACGAGTATATGAGATGTCCTAACGTACGGGTTTAAAATCACGTGTGATTCAGGTAGGGGTCGAAATTGACTACTGGAAGAGGGTAGCAACACGAGCAGAAAACAGATTCATAATTATTTTGCTGTACTCAATGAGGAAATAAATTTCAAGACCGACCGCAGTTAGAGGAAGCCGGTTTAATTAATGCAAGAAGCTGCACGGGCGGTGCAGGTGGAGCTTTGCTCTTGGTCTGTAATGTTGACACAGCCGAGCATGACGGCGCAATGAAGCCAAAATTAATAACTCTGCTAGCGGGATGAGACTTGCATTAAAGCGCAGTAAATATTAGTCTCTCTAACTATAAATTTAAATGTATTCCGAGATAGCTACGCAGTGCACTTACGTACCTGATATACGAGTATTTACTATACAGGATGGAAGATCTTCAGGAGGATTATCAATTAGGTTATCGTCGATGGTGATGAACATCACACCTACGAGTCTGAGCGCTAAGTTAAAGGACATTCAATTTCAATGAGATTCTCAGGAAATAATTGTGCGTCAAGATAAGACTTGTTATATTCATAAAGCTGACAGGCTGATATCGGCCACATTTTATAATTTGATGCCCTGAGGAGTGATGAGTAAATTCAACAGCTAAAAGTTTTTAGTTATTCTGACGCAGGAAGTTCGGCCGTAACTTGTATCTTATCTTTGAATGAGGTCTTATTGCGACTGAAAAGCGTGCATAGATTTGAAAATGCCAATTACTTTAAATAAAACTGAAGAAAAATTTAAATGCATATTTCCACTCACCTAACAATAAGATTTTAATCTCAATAATGAAGTAGAAATCTTGGGACTTTAGATATAGCAAATGTAATGGGTTCAATTTCTTTCGCATCATCAGTAGAAAAGCTCAGATAAATCGTACTGCAAACCATTCAAGTTATGCACTTCCAAGCTCAGAAACTTTCATACGATGTATTGCAACAATCAACGTACGTATTATCTTCTCGTCACATTCAACAGAAATTAGATCTTCTCATCACCATGTGACGCTGTAAGGCTCGTCATGGCCTGACGGTACACGGCCACCTTCTCTTGCTGCAATGAGTGACTTAAGAGGAATAGCTTAGCAAGATTTCATTTAGCAAAATATTGCTATTTTGGTGAATAAAAAAAAACATATTAATTATTGAGAAGTTACAGGCAGATGGTTATAAAAATATTTAGAAACATATGCATGGCTGTAGCTTTGCGAGCGAAGTTAAAAAATATATCAATATGAAAGATAATAATGAGTTTTTTGGAGCGAAAAATTATAAATCCCACGCGGCTTAGTAATAAAAACAAAGATTGTATTTTTAATATGATAACTAAATAAATGTGTACGATATACATATGCCGAAATTCGTTATATATTTCTTCTAATTTGTCTAAACTATAGTAAGCACGACGTGTTATTTACGATGTTCCTGTAAGATGATGCAAAAAACATTTGTCTACGTATTTTATCTCAGCGGGAATATAGTTGTTTACCCTGACCTGTTTACGTTGCAAGCATGAATGGTGGTCACGAGTCATCATAGTTAAGATAAGACAATGACAATGCAAATCACAACGGATCAATGTTATTCAATGGGATATTTTAAGTACATTTTGAAACTTTAGGCTCGACTTAGTGAACACGAGCCCTTTTTTTATTAAAATAATGAGGATAAACAAATGAAAGCTACAATTTGTCACGGAAAAGTTCGCTCCTAAACGCGCATTAGGATTCAAATATAAGCTCGATATCGGCACACATTTCTTTTCTGCACACACGTAGGTTTATTTAACAAAAAATCTTGCTTCTCTGCACAAAATACATTACCGTATTCAAATTACATTACATGACTTAAGGGAATGGCGCACATAACCAAGAGGTTACTTTAAGAGCCATCACCGCGGTAGCTGGAGTCTTTGAGGGTAAGAACTAAAGTACGGATTTGGTGGTGAGGAATGCGTAGCTTGGAAAGACTGTCGACCTCCTCATTCAAGCGCGTGCCTGTGAGGTCCGACTTCTGCATGGACTTGACGCCGATGGTGAGCTCGGTGCCCTGGGGCGGTGAGTCCTGCAGCCCTGAGCAGGCGTGAATCGATGACCGCACCGAGCACGCAGGACTCTGATTGTGGATGTGCATGAGGGCTCGCATGGAAGGCATCAGCCCAGGGTACTGAGGAACGGGCAAGATTTTCATGCCCAATAAATGAAGAGAACACGGTAGCGGCCGGGAGATGAAGTGGGCCCCGGCATTCAGCATGTGCGATTCCAGACCATCCGCAACGTACAAATCAACGGGATAGTTGAGTGCATTGGAGAGATAGTGAGCTCCGACGGACAATCGAGCCACTTCATCGCCTCCTCGTTCCGACTCTAGGTCCTCGATCAGCAGCCAGTGTCGGCCCATCGTCCTCTTTTGGTCAGTGACGCCTTCGCCCATGCCACGAGCGTCATCGTAGTTGGTTCTTCGCTCAACCATGACCTCCAGCCAGCCCTGCTGCCACGAGGCAGCACCTTGGCCGTGGTCGGTTAGAAGCGTCATTCTACGGGGACCATCCACAGGGGCCTCGTCCTCGATGAAGGCGGCCGTGGTGATGGGGAAGTAGTTCCCCTGAATACCAATCTTCTCGACCTTAACTCTCTTCTGCATGTGCAAGCCACTCTGGTCTGAGTAGAAGACGGGGTTCGCTCCGTTGTCGATGTCAGTACTGATCCTCATAAAGAGCTCCGTCTCTCTGTAGTTGGGAGGGAAGCCAGGTGTCTCAGTGCTGTTGTAGTGACTGGCAAAGTTGAAGATATTTTCGATGTAAATGGCTGACTGGAGGGGTTCTTGACTAGTATGGAATATGCGAGTAGTGTGCATGAGCGCTGCACCGAACATGACCGTCAACTCTGAGGCGACCGGACCGGAATGAATGAAAATACGTGGCCGGGCCCCAGCCAGCACGTCCTCTTCTGGATCCCTGGCGTTCGGGTCAGGCTGGAACAAATAAGCTCCAGACTTGAACTGGGCAGAAGGGTAAGCTGCGAATTTGAATGCTGTCTGAGTTACTTTTCCTGTCTTCTTATTGGTTACGGAACGCAGCATTCCTGTGGATCCATCAAATAATAGTTTCAAGCAGTCGCTGTCAATCTGAATGTCCCCAGGTAGCACATCTCGCGCGTCAAAGGGCGCTTTGTATCCTATAGGAGGGGAAGGTGCATAGTAATTCGAAAAAATGATGGCTTTGCGCTTGTCAGCATCCGCCGTGAGAGAATGATGAATGGTGTACGTGGCGAGACTAAGAGGGGGAAGGTCAGCCATAAAAAATACTTCGAACTGTTTGGTGAGCATAAGAAGTCCATTACCTGTATCATTCCACACCGGATTGATTTGGAAGAGAACATCATGGCCATGCTCATCAGTGAGTCGAAAATTAGTCGATGTCACGAGAATCTTAACAAGTTCGATCCTTTGTTGAGCCAGCGAATTAAAAATCACTATCTGTCGCATTTGCTTGTCGGTTATGATTGGTATTTTGTTGGGCCAACTATCATAAGAAGGACGTTCAAAATCAGGCTGCAGGTGCTCCAGAAAATTGGACTCCCGCTGAAGCGATGACAAAATACCGCGTGTCATAAGAAGGAACTCAGCACAGCGAGCCGACACGGCAATGGAGTCGTGGTAGCTAAGGAAAAGTTTTACGGCATAGTCGCGCATCACGATGGCTTTAGAGGTACCAGTAATGCCGTCATGATGCTGGAAGAGAGCGAGATTCTCTCTCGCCTTCACGAGCTTCTCGTAATCCTTCTCTAGCAGCTGAGCAACAGCGGTGATGCCAACCTCAGCGGCTCTCGCCCACGCCCACGTGTAGAGGATCTCTGCGGACCTCAGGACAGCTTGCAGCTGCCGGTCCAGGAGCTTGAAGAAAGGCCTGGTTGTGTAGTAGCCGCTCCAGTACGCGGGGCGTCCTTCAGTGAAGATATCGCTGTACACGAAGAAGTCGCCTTGCAAAGTCGGGAAGTCTTTCATGCGAGCTTTAACCTCTTTGAAGTAGTCCTTGACAGTACCCCACTCGATGGTCGCGTGGTACTTGCTGGGGTTGCTGTTGATGTGGTCAGCGAGCATTTGGTAGTTGGTGTACTGCTGGTCCCACTCGGTCGCGTGGTCGTACCTGAAGTCGTCGCCAATGGGGATGAGGACGACGTTGTGAGGGACCAGCGACCCCTGGCGACCGTACTGCTCCAGCAGCAGCTCAGCCTTCAGCTTGACGTTGCTCTCGTCGATGGGAAACGATTTGATCGAGTACTCAGTGTACTCGCCTGGCACCTGAAAGTGATATATAACAAAAATGAATGTAAGAAATATTAATAGTTAAAATATTTTGAAAATAATCTGATAGGCCGCGATGAGCAAATTTCTTTCCTCATCAAGATTTTTCAATCGTCATGTAGACAGCTGTTTATGGAAATTTTCATCGAAAAAAAATGGTAGGTCAATATTCAAGAAAGTATAGTACCTGCTGTTCACTTCCAAACGATTGTTCCAAAGACAGTCAATATATACAGTAAGTAAGGAATTTAATATAACATTGATAGGATGAAAGAATGTCAGGTAGTGGAGCTTCACCTTCCTGAAGTCATATTCCAGACAGATCTGCAGGTGCGGACCACACGAGTGTTTGATGCTGTAGATGTCGAATGGACGATTGTGCACGAGGATGTCCACGTCGCCGTCCGCATCCCACGTCTGGCGCCACTTGAAGTCGCCGAGTTGCTGCTCCGCCAGCCACTGCTTCCATGCGTAGTGGATGCGCTGGATGACCGTGCCTGAGATGGATGCCTCGTGCAGCAGGTACGGCACGGCCGCGCCGTGGCCGAACGGGTCGATGGACCAGCCGTGCGCAGGCTTAATGCCCAGGGTTCGGTTCAGCCACTGGTGGCCTGAACAATCGAAATTACGTATCACGAGCGGCAAATGGGATAAGAATTTTATCGTGTAATTAATCGCCCAAAGAAATGAGGATATGCAGCGATTCTCATTAAGGTTTGCTGTGGGGTTCCAAATGAGTAGTGTGCCGGGAGTTTCGAGAGGGTGCGGTATTCGATAAAATTCAATAATTTAGAACGGATCTATGAATTTTTTCATAGAAAATAGAGTATGAATTATCAAGCTTTCAAAGAAATAAATACAACCGCCTTTTAGCACAACATATTTCATCCAAAGAAAAATGAATCAATTTGAGTTTCGTGAGACTTCGAAGATTTGAAGTAATTAAACATCGAAAACTAAGTACAAATTTTATTGCCTCCCTTATAAAACCCAATGAATTTGATGAAATGTACCAACCCACATTATTTTTTAAGAAGAAGAAAAAAATTAAATGAAAGAAGCACGTTGTTTGCATTTCTTGTCGGTTAGGATTCAATTCAGGGTTGGCAATGATTAAATCAAAATGATTAAATCATGTGATTAAATCACTTAATTTTCATAAAAAAAAATCATGATTTTTTTATTTTTTCAATTTTTTTGATTTTTTCATATATTTAAAAATATTGAGTGGCAGTCTTTAATTTATATTGAGGTATTGTTATTCATGGTTAAGTATAAATGTACTATGAATGATAAATTGGTATATAAACTTGTTGCCTTTAGTGTGTATTAGGTTCCAATAAATGGAATGTTTTTGGTACAGAGGCATCAAGTGTGCAATACATTGTATGTAGCTAGCAGCTTAGCTAATTCTTATAAGGATAAGTAGTCTAACTATTTGACTATTTGTTATATATTGATTACAATATACAATTTAAATGTGTTAGCTAGCTTATACAGGGTGGGGCAGAACTGATTGAACAGTTTTGAGGCGAAATAATAGTAATGGAGGTACATAAAGAAGAAAGTTTATTTTCCTCAAGATAAGCAAAACATACCATTTAAAATACTTATGTTTTGAAAACAATATCAGGAAGATGGTGTCTGTTAGCTGCAACACACTATTGGAGTCGTTCTCGGAAGTTTCCTACAGCACGTTCACACATATGGCGAGGTATGGCCATAACCTCTGCAATAATCCGTTCCTTTAGCTGTGGTAGGGTGTGAGGGCGACTTCTGAACCCCTTTCTTTTAGATGTCCCCAAAGAAAGAAATCGCAAATGCTCAAATCAGGTGACCTCGCAGGCCACTGCAAATCACCCCTCAGAGACACCAGACGTCCGGGAAACATGCGTTTCAAAACATTGAGTAACATTTGGGCTGTGTGGGCCCCATCCTGCTGGAACCACAGGTCTCTCAATGCATCATTTTCAACAATGTTTTCCATCATGGGCTGCAAGAAATTTTGCAACATTGCAGCATAGCAATCGGAATTCACTGTCATGGTTACTCCCTCCTCTGAGAACGACTCCAATGCTAACCTCTAGGAAAATAAACTTTCTTCTTTATGTACCTCCATTACTCTTTTATTTTACCTCAAAACTGCTCAATCGGTTCTGCCCCACCCTGTATATTGAGAGGTTGAGATTGTATTGACCTTTTAGGCTATTAGAAAGATTTTCCACCCTAGTACGAGTATTCTAATTAAAATATTTAATTTCAGTCTTTAAATATGTGAATTTAAAAATTGAAACAAAACAATTACAATTATAAGACTATATAAAATAATTAAATGCAGTGAATGGATATAAAATATTTGAATTGTGCACATGTTTATTTCAAACAGTGTTAGCTTTTCTCATAACTTGAGTCTCGTTTCAAGTCGTATGAGGTTTGTTTGTTTATCGTTCAGTTTATGTTTAGTATTGGTTTATTGGTCTGAATTAAATGGGAACAGTGCAGTCAGTCACTCAGTCACTACTAGTCAGTATGTATAGAGGGTAGAGTCTGGTAGATTTATAGGACATAAAACTAGTAGATCTATTGATAGTGCTGTGCACTGTGCTATCAGCTACCTATCTGTTATGTGACTCTTCAATGTTTAGGAGTTCTGCATTCCTGAAGTGTTTTTGTATATTGAAGCAAGTTAAATGGTCAATATTTAGCTCATTACCTTGCTCCATACAAACTTTACAAAGCTAATGAATAGACTTATCAATAATTGTTTACCCAAAAATCCCTAACTGGTAAACACCACCTTGGCCTGTTGGCCATTATTGAAGGCAATAAGTGCCCTTTTTAGCCATCCATAATGATCCATATACTGTTATTGTTAGTAGGCTAATTGCAACATAAAAAAATAACACCTCAAAAAGACAAAAAAGCTGAAAAAATAAAAAAAATCGCCAACCCTGGGATTCATTATGAATGACAGAAAGCTGAAGAAATTAATCAACAAAAAAATTGTATAAAATATTCTACTGAAGAGATGACCGACCTATGACCATCTGGTCGACGAGGGCATAGAGGTGCGTGGAGGCCTCGTCAGGCATGACCCAGCCGCCCGTGAGCACCTCCAGCCGCCCCTCCTTCAGCAGGCTCAGCAGCTGGTGACGCATCGTCGGGTGCGCTCTGCCAGTAACATGCACTTATTTATTTAACATGATATGATTTTTTAAACATGATATGATTTTTAAACATATTTTTAAAACATGATATGACTTTTTAAACATATTTTTAAAAAATGATATGATTTTTTAAACATATTTTTTAAACATGATATGACTTTTTAAACATATTTTTTAAACATGATATGATTTTTTAAACATGATATGATTTTTTAAACATGATATAATTTTTTAAAAGATTATATTCAGAGATGATTGCTTATTGACCAGAGAGAGCTCAGGTGTATTAAAAAAAAAACTTTAAAGAAGATTATCGAAGTTTCAGGATGTATTTAGAGTTGACTTTGAATAATTTTTATGCGGGTAACAACTTTCTGGAGTAACAAAAATTTCAACGGATTTCTCATTCGAAATTCGTGAAACATAGATTTTAGGCATTCAGAGCGGAAATAGAGGACAAATGAAATTCTAAAATGCGCTGAAAGTTTTTTTTCCGAGTTTACATTCGCTTTTTTAGGCCACATTGAATCTTGCTTGACAATGTCCATCTGTGACGTCTGTTCTATCTTTTGACAAATTAAAAGCACAAAAATACAACTCAGGATTCACTGCAGTGAGTGACAGAGAGCGCATTTTCTCGTCGACGAAAACGTGAAGTCACGGACAGACAGACGGACGGACGGACATGACGAGCACAATAGCGCATTTTTCCATAAATGAGAAAATGCGCTAAAAATAAAAAAAAAATACTGGACGGAAGCAAGGAGAAAGATCCAAGAAGAGAACATATTGCGCAGCCAGGCTGAAGGCAGGCGATCGCGTCGCTAATTGAAGTAATGCATCACAAATCTGACACAAAATTCATGTCGCAAGTACAAATTCCCAGCGGCCTGTGCGAGCGCTGAAAATAAAATTTCGACATCAACAATAATGAAAACATTTCGCGCTGATGCGCCTTCATCCTCACGTCAGAATTGGGGAATTCTGCTCAATGGGAGATTGCAGGCGCGCCGCAATCCCCGCAATCTTGAAACAAAACACCGACACAACCAGACGCGCGCGGCGGAGAACAGACGCCCTTGGCTAAAATATATCTCAAGTAGTACACTTTTCTTTGAAACGGAATTTCCGAATTTAGCCCATTACACCGAAGATGATCACATACCGGTAATCCACGACTAAATTTATTTATACTCACACGGTGCATAAAAGTTTCGATGGATGATTTTAGGAGTTATTTCGCCTGGGTTTGGGAAACATCCACGACAGCTGTGACAGGATATTATCTTATCTTATCTTCAAACAAATCCATTACATTGCGCCAAGAACATACAACTTTCAATCGAACACTGTTGAACCAAAGTCTTTATAGAATACTGTTTTTCAACAGAGCAAAACTGCACTAGAGCGAGCGCGCTTGCAGCACCACCACAAAAGTTCCCGAGAATAATAGACCTAAGCAAGCCTCAGAGCAGCTTGGAGCATCAATAGACCTAAGCAAGCCTCAGAGCAGCTTGGAGCATCAATAGACCTAAGCAAGCCTCAGAGCAGCTTGGCAGCGAAACGAATAAGCGGGAGTCCAGATCAAACCGCACGCCATGAATTGATTTGAATTCGGTCGAATAGCAATTCAAGTTCGATAAAGCTTGATTTGTTTCTTAAGGAAAATTGGAAATCTAACTCGAAGCTTTAGGAGCTTTGTCATTGACTCAGAGAGGTGATTGAGATAAATGAGACTATTCTTGTACAACGCTTTAGCGAGAACACGTACGAAAGCACATCAACTTAAGCGATGAAAGCTTCAGAATCGGGTAATTCCAAAGAAAATGAATAAAAATAAAATGAATAACTAGCAAGAAGATAGGGTATGAAAATATTTTAGGTGAGAAAACACCTATTTTGTTTTAAATATCTAGCGGGATTAAATAAATTCTTAAATTAAGTCAGCTTGACTCCCAGCTTGATCGATACATCGCGAATGACCTACAAGTCACAAGAATGATTTTTGTTTCAGTAAATTCGAATATGACATGAAAACTTGGAAAATTTCATGCGAAAAGACCGTACTATTCATACGTAAAACAATATTCACTAGACATCAACGCATACGACGACACCAGTGCACGCACAATGGCATCGTCGTCACAACTGCCCGTTCAAGGTATACCAGCTGCCATGCTGAGCAATGAACGCACTTAAACTCTGTTTTTAAATCGTAATTCTTCTTTAGTAATGCAAGTTCCATAAGTTTCAACAGGAAACAAGGAGTAAATCTTTTCGTGTATGCCCTCCGTGTTCATCGAGAAGTATTGAGGGATTTAATTGCCGCTTGACAATTCCACATTTTATGTGCCACCGAAACTATATATTTCGGAAGGTCTGTCGCAAAACTTCAGATAACAAACTCTCCATGAAATCGATTGGACTGAAACTTTGACAATAACAGTTATTTTAACCTCAAGTTATAAATCAGGTGAGACGACACAAGTTTTATAATTTAACGCAGCTAAAAAATACGAACACATCAAATTAGTATTAGTATTTCGAGTTCAGTTAAATTATTGATAATAATTTAATGTACATAGATTGCAATACAACAAAGGCGATCTCTGCATGATCAATGAGCTAGCGAGCATACACTCAAAGAAATGAGAGTCATAATACAGATAGCGACCTTATGTCCTTGTGTCATGACCCAGTTTGGCCCTTTTTAATGGCGTATCACTCAGTATTCGCTCATTGCTATGTGTAAGACAATAGGACCCATTCATGTTTCGTAGTGCAGAATCTAACCCTTCTCTTATGAACGTCACATTTACTACATATTCCTTGCTCAACAGTCATGATGAAAAAGCTCAACAGGAAACCTTACCTTTCATACCAGAGCGTGAGGAAAGACACCTCGGCCCACACGAAAGTCATTTTTGGGTAGAGCATGAGTTTGGTGACCATGTTCTGCAGGATCTTCGAGCTCTGCTGGAAGAAATATTCTTCGTAGGTCTTCAGCCATCCAGGGTCGTTGTGCGAGTGAGGCATCAGGAATACCTGCCGACAATCAAACCTAAGTTAATCAGAAAGCATTATCAGAAAACAAACATAATAAAGGAAATAAAAACTTTGAGTTTATTTAAACATCATTGCTGTTTGTGCGAAGCAATTGGTATAAACAAGGTATTGCGTAAACCCGTTCCTTCTATTGAATTTCATTTAGACGTTCATGTTTCTTTCTTCAGGCTGAGGGTGTATACAGGCCACGCAACGGTCGAGATCCAGGCTGATAGGCTACTAGGAATGCGATGAAGGCTGCTGCTCCAGCCAATTAAGATTTGACTGCATTCCTCGACGAAGTAAACGGCCCGAGGCTCAAAGCTCGCTCTGCCCCCAACCTACTTCGCCTTGTCATGTGATGTACGGTTAGAGAAATGATAGTTTTTGAAGCAATTAGGGAGTGGGACTAAATGAATGTAATTTCACAGAGAAAAAAGTCAGGCGGCAACCACAAAACGAAATATAATTCATGAAATATCGAAAAAAAGGAAAATTAAAAGTTAATGAAAAAGAAGACATAACTATGGGGACGCCTGTCGGTGACCACCACTGCCGTGCTTCGAATGGACTATCATGATGCCTTCCCTGAAGAACGTAGCCTATTACACAACTTGACTGTAACATTATCAGCCGCACGCCACCAGACAGATCACATCCATTGAATTAGATCAATCAGCCAACAGGAAAATATGCCTGGCGTCGTATGGCCCAGCGTCGTCTGCCAACACGCGAAAAAATTTTACACCACCCGGACGGAGCGCGCCGGAGCCGTCCGTATCTGTCCCGTGTGTCGAACCAGCCCACGGTCGAACGGCCACGCGTCGTACGACGATAAATTTTGGAACAGAACTATGCTATCTGGAACCTAACCCCAGATGCAGTGAGCTAAAAGTTACGTAACTTAGCGAAGCTGCGGAAGTCACTCGCTGGCGGACGATAGAGTTTGGAACAGAACGATGCTTTCTGAAACCTAACCCCGGATGTTGAGCTAAAAGTGACGGTCTGGTGGTGCACGGCAGGATGCATGCAGTTCCACTGGCGACCCGGGCTGGATGGTCACAGTCCGTTGTCCGCAAGTTACAATTCGAGCTAAAGTCAGGGTATGAAGTGATGATTCGATGCAACGTTCAGTGGTGCATAACCATTACTGTCTGGGCTATTCGCTTCAGAATATGGTGGCGTAAAGCTCCTAATATTTAAAGCAAGATGATGTCATGGGCTGGTTACCGACGGTTGGCTTAATCCGTGGCTGATTGGTGGTCATCCGGAAATATGCTAGGCGTTCCTTTCAAGGCTGATTGGTGCACAAATTTGGTGGTTCACGGCTGCGTACCCATAACTATGAACGTAAAAACTGCCTATAATAGCATATAAGGTGCTTGTACACGGGGATAGTGCTGACGGCTAGTAAATCTGGCTAGTGACGGTCGCTTGGTGACTATCCGGCTAGTAAGCCTGTACACACGAGAGTAGAAGGTGACGCTATCTTCTCGTTCGCGCCCGCCAGTGAGTCGTTAGAAACCGTCGAGTGAGGTCTGTGAAGATGGATAGTGTGATCACCTTCAACAACTCGAGCCTGTACGTCTTTTTTATACTCCATATTCTAGCCCTTAAAAATACAGCGTCGGGAACAACTTAACCCTGACTAATAAGGTCTTCTTTTCGTTTCAAAATACTCGTTTCTCTCTTCATTTTGTTGGAGTAACCATCATGGCAAACATTATACTTTAATTCATATTTTTGGAATATTTCAAAGAATAATTGCATATCGTCTGGAATTCACTTTGTTGGATTCCTCTTAGAAACATTATCGTTCAAACAAGCCATGATTCACGTGACCCAAGATACTTCACAGGAGCGGCACAGATGCTCTCACCATGGCTGCATCAGCGCTACTAGCCACTTCTCCGGCCAAGATATCAACACATCGTTGTCTCTCTCGGCCGCGCCTCGGGCACTTGCCGGCGCATGCCTCTGAAGCGGCTGAACACGAGTACACGAGGCTAGTAGCGTGGACAGTTCAAGCGCCGGATGAACTAGCGGCTAGTACTATCCCTGTGTACAGGCACCTATAGCCACCAGGGTGCGTGTTATTCATATATTGTGGTGAAGCACTTTGCATAAAGCGAAAAAAGAACCAATTCACAAAGATCTAAAAAATGGCGAATAACATTTACCTAATACAGTAATGGGAAGGCCTCAAATGTTATAGTACAGCCGTACAAAATTTGTTTCATTAAAAGGGATAGGCGAGCATGTATTATGCTGACGATAAGTAGCAACCAACTTAGCGGTACATACGAAGCATATAATTAATCTCGGATAAATTATGATCAAATAAAATAGACTATCTTAATAACACACAGGATTACAGTTCTAATGCTTGGGTAGCCATGATGGAGATAAGTGTTAAAATTTTTAACACACAGGATTAATGTGAACATGGAATTATCGCATATAGATATTATCTTCGTTGAATAATGATTCCCGTGAAAGCAGCGAGCTGCACGCACTTGCTATCACCACGCTGCCACGGAGGTCACGCAATGTTCAGACGCAGTCAAGAGTAAAGCTCAAGAGCTCGATCAAGGCTCAGAAAATTGCACGCGGAGGCAAGACCTGCAGTTCTCAATTGCAGCTTCGCTCTGCAGACAAATTGAATTAAACTTTGCGAGCACAAAAACTTTCGGGAGTCCGCCAGAATATCTAGGAGTTCGAAGTGTAGGCATCGAGTTAGGGGCAGCGGTAGTGAGCGGACTGCTAATAAAAGAAAATCTCTGGCTTTTAAGGGGACCGACTACCCTCCGGAAAAACTTCTACAGTTATTATCCGATCATCATGAAACTTCACATACATACGTAAAACGTAAAAAAATAGCATTTTGCTCCTATGAATTTTTCGAAAAAATGGATAGAAAACGTGAAATTCATAGAAAACGGCTAAAAAGGGGTACTTTAGAAAATCTATCTCCTCCTACAAATATCATCCTACAACATCGAGACACATATCATTCGGTTAGTAAGGACCATACCTATGGATTTGATGATCATTTTTCTCATTTTCCCCTTAGTTTTCTTTTTATGCGCGTTTTATCCCATTTTTCTCATTTTTTATCATTTTTCCCTCCTCTCTCCCCTTCTCCCCCATATAAAAAATGAACCAGACAGAAATTCAAAAAAATTATCATCAGTTCTATAGGTATGGTCTTTACGAATCGAATGGTATATGTCTCATTGCTGTAGCTTGAAAACTGTAGGAGGAGATAGGTTTGCCGTGCAACCAATCGGAGGTTTTCAGGACGCCCAAAAAACTGCCGGGCGGCACGTAAAATGACGTAAAAGAGTCGTAACGTAGCCAACATACCCGCAACCAAGCCTTAAAACTAAGTGAGGAAGGCATAGAGCGAGTGGCTGCACACCTTTCACCTCGCTGTCATGATGGGCACTGAAAGACCTGGCTGCATCTGGCAGTATATCAAGTCATGCCCCGTAATTAATGCCTTAGGAATTTGTTAAGGCCTGTTCCTTTTTAGTGTGTCCACCCTTCTAATTAATCCCATAGGCTTTACTGAAGGGCTCTAAAAACTCCCTCCCTTCGGGGGGCTGTTACGAAATCATTTTTCGACGTAGAGGGATGATTCTGGTACGGTTGGATGCGTCAAAAACTAAGCTTTAAGATGAGCACAAAAACCGGAAAACGCCATAATTGAAAATTTTAGGGTAGTCGGTCCCCTTAAATCGGATAACACTATTAGTATATAATGTTGAAGTTAAAATAAATTCATGTCATTTGTAGAAAATAAGAAGATAACGAAAACATAGGACGGGATATTTTGAGATCTTACATCAAATCTAGCACGCTCGGGAAATTTTGAAACACCTACCTGTATATTGCATTGAAAACTGTACTCTACTGTATATTGCATTGAAAAAGAAGCCTTAATTAATTAGAGATTAATTAGAGATGTATATTTATGAGGCACCTTTCCATTATCACGATAATGAGTGCAATGGTTAAGGAAGCCAAATCAAGCTATTTATTATTTACTAGGAAAGTCTCTCAAATAATATTAATGCAATGAACTCAATAACAGAGATGAATCCTTTACAAGCAAACGGTTAAATGAGTTCAATTAACACAGTAAGGCATTGGATCTGTGGCATGAAACCTGATTAACGTGACGAGCCGAACTTATAATTAAGCGCTCTTGGTGCCTGGAACACACGTGTAGTGATCATTGGTCACGTCAAGCGCCCCCAACAGACTCATACTGAACTCCTTCGTTGTCATGCGGACTTATTTTTACTACACAAACGTTAATTTAATTGAAACCATCTTGCAACTGATAGAATTGATGAATTAGTTAATCAATTTCGATTAGAAATAATTACAGATTCATTCGTTATAAGTATCAGGCGGCTTCGACTACGTTAAAAATTTATTAAATCCCTAATTCCCCCTAGATTTAATTCTAAAAATTACTTTTAGAGGATAAAAAAGGAGAAAAGGAATTCACGGCTTTTAAATCTAACATTAGACTACATCGGTAACCTTATAGAGAATTAACACGTGTGGTGATGTTTTATTGTAATAAAGTGCGACGGTAACGTCGTAGACTAATAAACCCCGGAAAGCTAAAAACTTGATCCTAAAATATAGCAGTGTCAAAGACGTGCCGTAAAATGTGGATTCATCTCGCCCAACCTTGGAGGAGAATTTCAATTTAACAATCTCAAGCAAAGAGTTCGGCCGTGATTGATTATTCCCGGAACCAAAAAACTGGATGAGATCATTTAGATGCGCTGCAAGAATATCTACAATGACGGGATTCAATTGGGTAGAGTGCAATTCACGATGGATACTCAGGCAGAAAAGCTGTCTAAATTATGGAGGCTCAGCGTCGAGCTGCCGTGCAAAGTCTTAGGCGGTCTTCAAGGCAACCAAGTCTCTCCTCAGAGCCTCGAAAGCTCATTAAATCTTACGATAAGAAAATGAGC